CCGATCCTACAGAAATAGTGGCTTTCCGAAAACCAAGCACGCTAATAACCGAACCTGAAACAAAAGAAATATGTACCCTCATCTGTGACACACCCAATAAACAAAGTAAAGACAAAGAATAGAAACAGCGGGAACCCTGTCGTGCTGTAGTTACAAACCTTCTATCTTAAAAAAGGCAACAAGTTGCAACATACTTTTCAATAGGAATTCCTTTTTGTCACGAAATATCAAAGCTTTGACAAGCAATAGTGTAGGTCTTGCTCCCATTAAGAATGAATCCGTAAGGAATTTTGTGAATGGTTGATCTTATAAAAAAAATTGATTCTAGCCAGTAAACAAGTCGGCTTGTAAATCAGTACGATTGACTTTTTCAAATGTTGTTCATGAAATGCACGACGCGACAAGTGACGAATACAATTCCGCCAAAACCCATGGATGCAGGCAAGCCGAGAACCAGGAGAGATGGAACTCACTGCGTTGCTCATGCTCAGATAATAAGGTGTAGAGCAGAGTAATATAAATAATCAAAACTGCTTCATTAACGCGTTAGTTATTTCTTTTGTGGTTTGTCGCACGCTGGTGCTAAACCGCCGTTTATTTACTAAAACGCTAATTACTTCAGTAATCAAAGCGGCTATAGTGATTTACATATCCTTAGTTCAAACAATTTTAAGACTCCCGAAACGCAAAGAAGCTTTCAAAGGTCAATTTTGTTAATTAAGACAGCGGACCCAAGTAAAGGTACTTAAAATTACTTCTAATTATTTCTTTTGGATTTGTGGCCTCGTAAAACTCTTTTGAGGAAACTCAAAAAGCAAGAATTATAAAAACAAAAGCCTTATTTTTAAGTTCCTTGTTAAGTGGAACATTTTAACAAATAAACTACACGTTTAAATTAAATAGGAGTTTCCTTGACAATGCCATTTTAAGTCGGAGTGCATTATCCTCATGGACACTCCATATTTTCATAATAAAGGGATTGTTGAAGCGTTTAAAGCAGGAATTTATTATCTACGTCACTTTGTACTCTTTGTGTTCATATCTGTCAGTTTAAAGTACATTGGCAAGATGAAAGTGATAACTCTCCTGGATGAGCGCACTTATCTAACACTTGCAGTAATATAGAGCTTTTAAGATGACACAACCTCCCAAAAGGAAGAGCGTGGCAGATTTATTTAAACAAGCGATAGAAGGGAATGACCTTGCACAGCTTAAATTTGCTCTGAAGTATTACCGGTCCAAAGTCAATGAACAGGATGACGACGGGGTAACAGTGCTCCATAAAAGCTGTTTTTCTGGACAGTTAGAAGTTGTAAGGCTATTAGTGGAGAACGGGGCCGAGTTAGAAATGCGAGATGACCGCGGCTGGACGTGCCTACATTACGCTGCGTTCGGAGGGCACCTGGATGTTGTCAACTTTCTCGTCAACTCTTGCATTGACGTCACTTCTTTGTCTCTTGATGGCAAGCTTGCAATAGATGTTGCTACAGGAGAAGGCATCGTTTTTCTTTTGGCGTCAGCTATTCTAAGAGCTGGTAAAGAGCATTTGCTTTTTCGTTACATGAATAGCTCGACATCTAGTCTGAACAGCTGGCCGTCTGTTAGTGACGATAGTCAGGAATGGCGGCATCCAATCCAAGGAGCAATGACGGAGGAAGTTTTACGCGCAAGTCAGCAGTTTTTGGCGCAAAGCTTCAGCGCATACTTAGATGAGAAGTTAAACTTAACAGCAAGTTTTGCGAAGGGCACAGACAACGAACAATCACTTGAATTCCCCGTCAAACCAAAGGCCACAAGAAAAACATCGCTGCCACTAAACAGTGACCTACAAGAGAATGCACCCTCAAAGAGGGTTCGTAAAATAAGCTTTAATTCGTCATTTTCTCGAGATGTCTTGCAGCGCTTTGCAGTAAGTGAAACAAATTTGGCGGACGAGAAGAACAATGTTTATCACGGAAAACTGAATGGAACTGAAATCAACAGAGCTCCGAATTTTTCTGATCTCAACAATGCAAACTCGGAAACTTGGATATATTCTAAGTGAAGCTGACAAGAACACACCTTTAAAATCTGATTGTTCCGTCATAACGATTTAGAGACCAATTTCAGTATTGAATGTTGGGTTATTAAATTGTGCTCAGGGCCTTGAAGACGCAACAGATTCACAGACAACTGACGACTATTCACAGCTAATCTCGTGACCGATGAGCACAGAGAAGAGGCCATCACAGCGTGAATATACAGCGCAAGTGTTTATAAGCTACAAGAATCTAATGCAACAGGAAGTTAAGCTCAAAGCGAGCCGCTCAAGTTATTACAGTTTCGCCATTCAAAGTTTCCATGCAATATTTTCGGATTAACATCATAATCATAAGCTAATTTCAACGCTAATTTTGGTATAATTAGTTAATCTAGACCCTATGTTTCTTATTTGAACTCTCATAAGTTTGAGACAAATATCATTCAAAAACGGACCATAAAAGTACCAATAAGGCTGTAAATATAATATCATTTTTGGTATATGTTATTTGTTATTTGTCGTGGTTTTTGACCTGATGAACAGCATAAAACAGAAGTTATGATAACAAAACAGCTTGCTAAAACAACTAAGCGCTCATAAACCAAGGAAAAAGTTCAATACACGCTATGAGAGTATCCAAGACCCCTGGAACTACTACCATTGGCGACCAACGAAGCGTACGTACAAAATGATTTTGTTTATAGAGAATGGTCAGCGGGAAACCAACCAGCTTTACAAGATTTACACTGAATGTTATTGCGTCATGCGTCACAGAGATGCTGCATAAACTAAAATAAGTTAAATAAGTTCGAATTTTGTATGTTCCCGTTTTTTATCAGAGAATTTGATAAGATAAATTATTTACTGGAAAAAGGTTCAAACGGTGTACTCAAAACGTCATCTTTGAATCTCTGTACGCGGGTGCCAAGTTATCAAATTTCTTGAAAGAACATTTGTTTTGACTTCCTCGTTGAAACAGCACCCGGCCCGTTTGCTAAGACGTTCGACCGACAAACAGATTGTCGCGGATCCTTGTTCCCACTGCTCAATAAGCCTGTGGGGGTCAGAAATATTTCAACGATCGATTTAGTGCGACGGTTCCTGCTGGTTTGAAAATGAGCGAGTTTCCATAGATAACTTCATTAGAATTTCTACAGCGGGAAGCCTGTCTACTAAAATTCGACTTGTGGATTAAATCAAAATGTATAAGTGGTTAGGGGAAACCATATTTAGTCTGAAAATGAGGCAAGACAAGTACGAATTCTAGTCGGCTGCAAGTGAAGGGAGAATATTAAATTCTATTATGGATTAGAAGTAGAAAGGGAAAAAAGAGCAGGGTAAAACATTTGTCTCTAACCGAAAACTGGACTTGAGAGAAATCAGAAAGAGAAAGCAACATATTTTACTCTCAATATAGAAAAAAGAAAGTTATAAACGTTATATATTATTTTATATTTCGTCTACCACATTAGACAATGGTTTAAACTGAAGGGAGGTCGGCATTCCGTTCATTCCTTTGTCCCACACCTATTCAGTGGTGCGCGCCTTAATATTCCCCATAAAGTGCCTGGGTCAGAAAATTGAGCGAAAATTACTTACTTTAGATTAAAAAGGATAAAGAAAATGGCATAGTTTTTAATAGCACATTTTGGTCTAATTTTCCTTTTCTTTTCCTTTCTTTTTAGACCATTAAAAATTATGCAATTTCCTCTATCCTTTACTCAGGAAATTTAAGTGAACCAAATGTATATTTTTTTTAGAAAAAGGTCGGAAGAAAATAACACATTATTTTGGTCAAATGATGGGTATGGAAAATTCTGCATTTTGGTATGAAATGAATGACGGTATAAGACATTTTGGTCATAAAATAGGGGAAAGTTAAACGGAAACTGATTGAAAAACATTACCGCGTAGAAAATCACGTATAAATTTAGATTGAAGGCGTAGAAACACAATGACGGAAATGAAGTCTGATTCTTTTTATACCGGAGACAACCGGAGACTCGTACATGATGTCCATAATTAGCCATTCTTATGTCCAGGCGCCTCTCTTGTATTCTGGTGATTCCCTTATTGATCAGATATTATAATATTTATATTATGTATATAAATAAATATATTTTTATTGGCATGTATTTTATTCTTCATAAGTATTAGATTAGAAGTATAATAATTGTAATTATTTCTTTTCTTTTTTAATTTAGCAGGACCCGGATGAAAATTACTTTGTGTAATTCTGGTTTTCACCCTGTCTAAATAAAGTCTGATTGTTGATGTTGACAGAAAATTTACTTTGGAACGAAAATGATAAAAAACGATTCGATATTTCAAAATGAAAAGAAAATTACATATGTTTGTCTGAAAACGACGAGAGAAAATTACACCTTTTCACCTGAAAACAGGTTGGACAATTAGGTATTTTAAGTTTGTATAAATGTCTAGAGCTTTCAACTAGGTCCCAAACGTCAGTAATCAGCTTATAAACGAGGGTCATTTTTGGCCTTTCGCTCCAAGGCAATTACTTCGGGTCATATTTTGGTTGATTTCGTCTTTTCAGACAAATTTAGCAGATAAATATCACTTTCAGGAAAAACTAAAGGTGTTTACCTAAAAATAGATAAAAAATTCCCTGGCAGATAGTGCAAACCAAACACTTTACAGCGCCGCAAAAGATGCATAATTTTCAATTTACAGACGAAGAGAAGACGTGCAAATTGGCCGTGGAGGTACAAAGTACTCAGCGCGCCCCAGAGTGGCCAGAAAATTATTGTGAATCAAAGCAAACCTATTTTAAAGTAGTTATGGTTTCGACAAAGCCTTTCACTTGCCAGAGTTTCAGACAAAATTATTTTTCACGCCAAATTGAGTGGGCGGATTGGGGGGAGACAGCCTATTAATTTGTCAACTCCCAGTCCACTAACATTACCACCACTCCCTGGTGGTTCGGTTTCTCTACCCCTACCAACACCACCAGGGGGTTCCACCCTTCCATCTCTATCATGCACTATCACAAGCTGATTCTACCCCTCCACCCTTACCACCATTCCTAGGGGGTAAAAATCTTCCACCGCCACTGCTAGAGGTATCACGTGCACCACCACTAGTACAGTTTTACAGCAACGTAATTTCCAGGAGAATTTACTCCGCCTTAACCACCACTACAGAGAGGACCTACTTTTCCACGACACCGCTGCCAGAATTTTCAATTCCCCCGCCTCCAGCACCACTGCCTTGGTGCTGAAATCCTCCTTCCCCACCACCTCCATCACTCATGGAAGTCTCTACTCCTCCTCAAGCATCGCCAGCGCCACCATAAAATTAAATTCAGTGGTAAGACTACTTGGCACAAAATGCACTTCCAAGAGAAACTAACTCTTTTAAAGTTTCAAAACCTTTCTCCTTTGATAGCAAATAATTATTCTAATGTATGGAATAAGTCGATACTAAAGATTGGAAGGATGAAATAAATGCTGCAATAAAGGACTAGAATCTATTTTTGCTTAAAATAGTTTCATTTTACCTTAACTATTACACTACCTAGGAAAACGTTCAAACTGACACAATGAATGCATTTGACTACACAGTTTCGGAAGTTTGAATTATGAATCATGTAGTTTACTGTCGAAGCCTACACTGGGACGCTTTTATTTGCTAATATTTATATACGGTAGTCCTTGCACTTCCCGTGTCTATTAACTAAAATTTGCCGAATTTTACTAAGTATTTTTTTCTGGTGGCTTCATCCATGATCACCGTCGCTACGATATCCCCTTCTTCATTGGCTGATGTTTCCTGAACAGTGGCCTCGTGGTACAGCCAGCTAAATCCAGCAAACAAACAAAAAGGTATATTTATTACGTACCACAGACAGGCCAGCTGAAAATCGGTTTAACACAGGAAGCTCTGTTTACTAGTTAATCTTTCCTGCGTTTGCGATTTACATTCTGTGGACAAATATTCTTCTAAAATATCTTGCAATAACGTTTGAAACTGGAGCTGGATAACATGACAGTAAATACATGCAATGTCCTGGTTAAAGGCGCTTTAACTTATAGTACGATCGGATTCTAATTTAAAGCCCATGAGTACCCTGCCAAGATTCCTAAGCGGTGGAATAGATCACCATGGGCAAGTGCATTTAGATTATGTGAGTCTATTTCTTTTCTTTTTTCTCTAGTGTAAAAATAGTTTAAAAAATACGATCCACAAATAGTGGCCGACTCTGGTTCTTTCTGCAACAGCAGGAGCTCCGCTATAAACATCCAAGTACGCGAACTGCTTACAGTTGATTTTAATAACAGAAATAGCAGGTACCAGTGTGTATTATTCGGTATACAAAAATTCAATTGACAGATAAGTATCTTGGGCAGGCCAGTCTAAAAAGTCTATTAAAGAAATGACATTTATAATATATGAATGCTGGACTCCAATTACCAACTCAGCGCCCAACACAAATACAGTCATGATCTACTCTATTTTCTTTGCAACTGGCTTCTGGTGCAACAACTTTGACAACGTTGATCACTACTTTAATTAAAAGCTTATTTGTGAGATTGAAATAAAAGTTCAGACTGAATAATTAGCCAAAACATTTCATATTCGAACAAAAATGCAGAACAAAACCTTTACCACAATAGGATTTTCGATCACGTTTCCCTACGGCGAACGTCCAATTTGCCTTTACTACAATTTTACAAAAACCTTACCCTCATGGGTCTTCACATCTCATTTAAAACTCATTTTTAAAAATGCCATGTCAACCATCACGTGATTTGATTAGCTGTGAATTTGGCGACATGGGCATCACTTACAGCTGTATGTGACATAATAAATCGTTGAGTAGCCTTCATATAACTCACCTGAGCTGTGGTCCATCAGGAGGAATCACAAGTCTTTTTATCTCTTTCCCCGTGGATGCAATGATACCTTCTTCAATCAAGCCACGCAGCTTGTTGAGGCCAGTTTTGTTTAAAGCTGAGATTTGTGTACGGTTATTACTCTGCACTCCATATTGCATGTGTAAAGGTTCCTCATCACTAAAATGAGGAAACAAAAACATTTACTATATGGCTTTGAGTGGATGGTCGAAAACAATAACAAAAAAATGCTACTATGGACACAGCCGATGCTTTTTTTGTTTAAAAGATAAAGGAACTCTTTAGACAGAGCCGAACTGAGTGTGGTGGGAGGAGGAGGGAGGGGGCTGTAACTAGAAATCTTACAGTACACTTGACTACATGAGGTGAAGCTGGCTCCGCTATTGTTCACAGGGGTAATATGACATAATATGTGAGTTTTCGTTGATGCTGCCTTTTTACACAGGGTTCTACTCAAACTAGCCATACTAAAAACAGTCTGTGTATATAGCTGATTCAATAAAGGTTGCTTTGGGCATTGGGAATTGGGCAATAAGAAGCTATTGTTTGCTGGTCACTCCGGCAAATTGTTGCATTGTTTGGTATGCCCAAATGCCCGATACCTAATCGTCAATTCCCAATGCCCAAAGCAACCTTTATTGAATCAGCTATGAAAAATGTCTCGAGTGTAGAGTTGAACGCAGATAAGTTGACTTTCGTCTTTCAGTGAGTAACTTGTCTCGCTAGTTGACGCAGAGCATACCAAAGATCAGCCTTATTAAGTGCTTCTATCATGTTCTCCATTAAGGGTGCTTTCAGGCTCAGCTGTTTTTCCAGGATTGTTAATACATCTTCTAACTGAGAATCACATTCAGGATGGCTGATGTCACGAACATGGACAACTAAATCCTGAAAACAAAGGCAATATAGATATCATGTTTTGTGAACAAAATATGTTCTGTTCGCTTACTGCTGCAGTTTTACAAGGACTGATGAATAGGAGAGACCTACAGAGTCGGCAATATCCTCCAGTGTTGCTGAAAATGACTCAACAAGTTCAGGTGGCAAGTCTGAAACAAATCCAACAGTGTCTAAATACAGCACAGTCATCCCAGATGGAAGTTTTCCTGGATGCCCTGTGACATCAAGAGTTGCAAAGAGCTTGTTTTCAGGGTACATCTTTGCTTCACCAGTCAAGGCTTTAATTAGTGTTGTTTTACCTGCAACAGTTTAAAAAGAAAATCTGTACATGGCACTTGTTATTAGATTTGATTATTATAAAAGGAGCAAGTACCAGGCAAGACCAGAGGTTTCACGAAATAGGTGTGACCAGGCACAGTCAGGATTTCGTACATTAAATTAATGCTTAGCTAATGCTTAACCGTTTAATGGCAAAATCCGTTTACTAACTGTTTACCATCCACTTAAAACGGGTCATGACAATCCTGTGAGTTTTAAAATTGCAAAATGGTAACTTGGTTACCCACGGAGCACTGAGGAGTTCTTAAGAACGTGTCTGTGCTTTCCAGATCAAAATGTTCAGGGTTTTGAAAGAAGAGGGAGAACCAGAGTACTCGGAGAAAAACCTCTCAATGACGGACGGACGGACGGACGGACAGACGGATGGATGGATAGTTTAATTACCAATACTTTGCAGCGCAAAGGCTGAAGTGTGTATTTACAAATGATGCAATTGGTAAATTGTTCTATCGTTTAACGCTTTTGGTTATCCGTTTAATCGGATAAGGAAACCTTTTAAATTCTCTAATTTCCCTTTTACTATCCCTAAAAAATCCGCTTATTTTTACTCGTTTTAACCTGCAAAGCGTTAGAGTGTGAAATCCTGTGTCCAGCTACAAATGTCCAGCTTAGTCTGAAGCACTACAAACTCAGTGTATTTACTAAACTATGCATGTAAACTGTACTCTGAATGTAGCTGCATCAACACTGAACAGTATTACGGATCTTTACCTGCATTAGTATATCCTACAACTGCTATTATTGGAACATGCCTCTTATGTCGTTCATGTCTAACATGGTCACGATGTTTCTTGATAGACTGTAACTTCTTTTTCAGCTTCTGTTCTCGCTCAAACAATATCCTTTTCTCTTTCTCAAGATCAGTTTCCCCTGCTCCACCAATAGCATGTGTTCCACCCCTTTGCTGATCATAACTACTATTCACTTCTCCTCCTGCATGTACCAGTCTGGATCTGAAATTAAAATTAAAATAAATAAATATAAAAGTCATGTGACGTCAGTTATACGTAGTTTACTTAGCCTTCTCTCCCGATTCTGGTCATTGTTTTGTGAAATTAAGCCATGTAACTGACTGTAAAGAAGGTATAGTGAAGTCAATGAAGTTCTGAAGATGACTGAGTAGTCTTCAAAGATGACAATCCTTCCTATTTGCCACATCTCATTAAATTATTCTACATTCTTGCAAATCAGTGTACATCATACTTGTCAATTAGGCCACACAAATAGGGCGGACACTTTTCAATGCAAAATTTGCATGTTTGAAGATGAATAATGGGTTGTGCAAGATTATAGACAAGTTTAAATTTCAGATACATATTTTACACATATGGTAGAACAAGAAACCACAAAAAGAAATTCACGTCATATACATGTACATACACTTTAAGGAATTTTTCTCTTACATACATGAACCACTTCTTTTTCTTAGGGGAGACCGTTTGAAGTACTAGAAAAAAGTCCTTAACAAAGGATTTGTTTGAATTTTTCTCTTAAGATAAGAAATCTTAATTTATGCATCAGTCAACTGAAACTCCAGCCCCTTGACCTCCACGACTTGGGAGGGAATTTAAAGTTGGCCACATGTTAAAACACCACTAATTTCCAGGCTCCCCGGGCCAAACAGTTTGTTAAAAGCCCCATATAGCAGGGCATTATTAGTTTATAAACAATAAACACGATTCAGTTCGAATTTACAGTATTTGTTGGTCTAAACTGTACTTGTTCCTAAATTCAACTATATTTTCAACTATACTTACAACTGCAGTGAAATTGGACATCTTTTTATGGCTTACATTCAAATTTGATCATGGTGTGCGCAAAACAGGCCAAGGACCACTAGGGAAAGACCAGGGTCAGGAAATCCACCCTTAAGGCCTGAAACAGTGACTTGTTTTGTAACAGTGCCATAGAACTAATTCTGGTTATTTTGAAAATGGTATCTGGGTATCCCCTGGCCACCTTCCTTCATGAGAGGTGCACAGCAAATCAGAGCCTTGTCCGACTTTGGTCCAACATATTAGAGAGAGATAGAATCACATTTACAGCTTACGACAATGGCCAATTTGTACCACGTGACCAAGTTCCCCCTAGCTTGTTGTTCACTGTTTATTTTAACAACACAAATACGTATTAGTAAGTTCACACCTGTTTTATCCACAACAATCATTTTGGAATGCTCATTTCTTTTGGTACTTCATGTTAAATCCCTGTAGCTGTCCCCACTTCCGAAAATGCGTGCCTGTTAAATCCCTGCTAATGACCCAGGTGGAACAGGCATCTTGTTAATTCCACCGCCCCCCAGGGTCAACATGTTGTTAAATGCGTGTTAAATCTCTGCATCGGCCACGTTAAATCCCCTCTATCTCACGTTATGCCATGGGGGTCGGGGGCCGGGGTTTCAATTGACTGATGCATTAAGGGTTTTCCTTATATATAAATTTAATGTAAATGAACTGGATATAGTCCTTTACCTAATGTAAGGTATTTCAGCTAATTCAACTTGTATCTTAGCTTCTGCAGTTTTTGCTCTTTCTTTGAATATCTGCAGCACTACGCCAAATCTGTCGAATACCTTAACTTCCCAAAGGTCTTCCAGCTCTTTATGTTGCCGAGGACTCAGCTTAGCAACGTCAATAAACACGCTGTCGAATGAAGAAGCTGAATTTCTCATTTCCTGAAACTGCTCGGTTAACTCCTCAACCTTCCCTTTCCCGAAGAACGTTTTACCGTCTAGCTTTCGGACAGGTTCCACACTTTTGCCGGCGACTATCCAGTTTTCAATCGCATCAACTAACCCACAGGCTTCGTCCAATCTATGTTCACTGGTGACATTTCGAAAGCGGTGACGACCCCATTTGAAATCAGGCTCTAGTATAAATACTTCATGGCCTTTCTTAGCGTCTTTCTCATTGCCATGGTAATGATGACGGGCTCGAAGTTTGCGCAAAATTTCCTTGCTTTCTGGGTGTTCGTCCTCCAAATCGTGTGAAGAGGAAGCGTGACTTTTCTTCGAGAAGCACCTAGTGGTAATAACAGCTGACGACATGACTACTGAGCTCAACCCGAGATTTCTCTGACATAGGGCTGTGGTAAGCGAACGGAAAAATCCTGTTCCTTTTTCACAAACAATGAAATGGCTTTTACCGAGACAAGCTAATCTCAGAGTATTCATGATTTTGCAGGCACATACAGTACAATACAGGTTTCAAAACATATCAATCCGTCTATATGTGCAAGGCGTTATCAAAGACATGAACCAGGAGAGAAAACTGGGTACAAATGTGGGAACGACAATCAAACTGATCAGCAGTTTTTTCTGGTGAGCAGCGTCTGCGCATAATTTTTTTGCAATGAACTCTGACGTAGACGAATGCAGTCACATTTTCCAATATGGCGTGATTGCTGGCTTCGAAACAGTGACAGTCAGTTGTCTACAAATTCATGAACTTGAAGCTTTATTTATGTGGGTAGTATCAAACATTGGAAATTTGGTAACATGGATGAAAACACGATTTGCTTTTCTAACACTTGTGAGGTAAGTTATCATTATAACGTCAGCTCACTGCTAAAATTAAGCAGTACGAACACGAAGTTGAAATTGATGTGTCTGACACCTAAATTAAGATACTTTTAAGTCTCTTTTATCCTTAAAAAAACAAATGCAAAAGTGAGGGGATACAAATCAGGCAGCTGTAGCTGACTTATCAAAGAGGGGTTTTATCTCCCGTGTTGTTCAATGAATGAATGAGGGACAAAATACGTGTCCTCTTTACTTTATATGTATATGTTAACCCTCGGACGTACAAGAGGGGTTTTTCCTAGAGGATGAAACATCAGTACCTGATGTTTTCAGTAGCTGTTGATTCATCCCTCGTGCACATTTTGAGACAAGTTTAGTGATGGTCAGTTGTTGTGGTTACGAGATATGACAAGGCGGCTGCCTAACAGGTGCACGAACACCAGAGGCCCCTACGATTTACTCTCGGGCAACCAAAATTTCAAACAGGGAACGCGAACGGGCACCTAAAACTTATGATTCTCAGGCTAACTTCCAGTGAACAAACAACAAAATTCCAGCTGCTCATTCTGCACTTTGAAACGACAACTGAAAACGTTTGATCGTCGGCCATAGGCAAAAAATATCTCCGCTGATAAATGGTAAACACACAGCACTATGTCTTGAAATTTGCTTCTGTGACTTCAGCTGCAGAGCAGTTGAAGTTTGTTGTCTGAAATTAGCGTCGAATGAATTTAATGGTCTTCTAAAATACTTCCATAATGAAATCATGACTTTTTCTTCAGCGTTAGAAATGGTAGGTTGCTACTGCATGAAGTAAAAACTGATAAAAAGTCGTGATCTGTCAAAAAGTAAGCTGGTTTCAAATTACACGTGACATCGTTGGTTTCAGTATGCTATTAAATTTTGCAAGTTTGTAGCGTTTTCTATCTTGCTATAAACACAAATGATACACTCAGAGGTTTCTTTTATTATTATTTTATTCAGCATTATCTACAATGTAGGCCTCCCTATTTTTTGCTGTATGTTTTGTGGTAACTTTCAAAAAACTGGCAAAAACATTTCAGTTTTTGAAAGCAGCTATTTAAGATCATATTTCAATCTTTTTTTGATTTACGCAGTTGCGTGTGATGCACGTAAATACAAACCTTCACAAATAATATATAAACAGTTCAAAGTTGATAGTTCAAAAGATAGACTTGATCCAAAAAAACTGAGTTAGTTCTCCAAACTTCCAGATAAAAACCTTTCTTTGGTCCTTCTTTATCGCCTAAAAACTTAACAGGCAAGTGCTGTTGGTCGTTGCGAGTGGTCTTTGTTTATATGTTTCTCGAGAAATAAATCATTTCTCAAAATCCCTTCAAGTGGCAAATATAAAAAATGCTGGTTTTTCAAAACTCAAGACTTGGTTTTTGCGTTTCTAAATTTGATTTGTTTGTGGCTCGAGTATTGTTCCGGTTTTGTCTTGTGACACAACTCTCCTTAAGCCTTCCCGACTAATCTAGGAAGATCGAGGGGCCTCTACTGTCAGGGTATAAATTGATAAACAACATCTTCTTCAAAGATAGATCTTTCCAGTGAATCCTGTCAGAGTTACAAGGAGAAAGATCGAAATAGATTCGCAAAAAAAGGACCAAATTTTTGCTTTTGTGCATGCATGAAAAACAAATAAGATGTTTAATTACATCAGATTAGCTGGAAAAGTAGGCCTTTTTTCTAGCAAAACTCATTTTTAGCCCTTTTTATGCTAATTAGCTAAAAAACCAGTCCAAAGAAAAGGAATTGGTGAAAAATGCAGTTTTTTCACTACTTGCTGGCCGTCACTAAAGGGTTAATAAAGTTCCCTATATTTTATAGTTGGGCTCCAACGTTTTATTTTAGCAGCTCAAAGGGCTCCCAAAAAATTTTCTTAGACAGCAGCCTTGTTTGATGTCTTAAGTAGCAGGTGGTCAAGCCAGTTTTGGGTGAAAATACATGTTTGTTCAACTTCTTTCAACACTAAAAGTAAATCTTGTGGCTTAAATCATGCAAAGTGCTTATTTATGTGCTATTTTTCATGTAAAACACAAAAAAATTACCATTTCTTACAGTACATGTATTAACCTGAGTGATTGCTAATTCTTGGTAAAATTCAAGATGGCAGCCAAGATGGCGACCATTGTTGGTGACATCACAGGACTCCAGCAGTGCCACCACCCCTAAAATATACCTCAGCTTGTTAAGAAGATCAAAGGCTTTCCACTAAAAGTAAAATCATTTCAAAATACTGCAACACATCAAAACCTCTGGGGAGGAGAGGTTCCATTACCCCCCATACCACAGTGGGGGGTATGGTGAATGTAAGGACAAGTCATAGTGTTACAGTAGATTCTGTAAATTAAACTTGTGGTTTGCACTTTGGCTTCAAATACATGATAATTAAAGAATATTCATAACTGACGATTGCCATTTTTTTCTTCTTGGCTTTTCAGATCACGTAGAAACACTTTAATTGCTATCGCATTATTTACTGTATTTTTTATATGGATCCTGTCAAGATTTATGCCTCACCATAGGCCTGGACAGCTGCCTGATTCTCCCGGTAAATAGCAAGAGCTAGATCCATTTTGTATTATTATTATTGTTGCTGAAAATATCCATAATGTTTACTTGGGATGTTTTAGTGTGATTCCCCTCCCCTTGGAAATTCTAGTTTAGCTCCATACTTTCCTTAAATATTATTGGCCATCAAAACCTCTCTCCTCTGTTGAAATTCCAAAGCCCCACCATGGCACAGGTTGGGTATGGATAGTTTTTTGGAACTACACATTTTAAATATTATTGTGATAGGAAAAAGAAACCATAAAAGGGGCTGTGAGTTGTAACAAACAAAGACAGGTAATCTCTAGCTCTCTTCATCACCAGAAGTCTTCCAATATAGGGGGTAAAGAGGTTAAGTTTGATATCAAAAAGATCTTTTTGTAACTTAATAAGATTTTGCATAACTAAAATAATAAAACTTTATTAAAAACATTATCCCATAAGACGTCACAGTATACAACCATTTGTGATTTCCGCCCTAATGCTAATGTCAGTGCTCAAGTCATGTTTACTTGTTCTGGAGCCAAACTGCTGATCTTAATAAATTAAAAGATACATGTAGTTTTGCCCTCAGCCAGTGAATTACGATTCTGTACTACACTGTCCTTTTGCTTTTTCTCGGATAGCTTCAGGGCTAGTTCAGTGAGAAATCATTCGTCTTCTCTGCCATTTCCTCCTTATGGTGAGAACACAAGAGGGCTGAAGGAGCTATGCTGGACTTCAATAATTTGCTGGTTGTAGCTAGTGTCACTTTTATTCCTTGCTTGAGAAAGTCATGTCAAATTCTGGTTTAGGTGGCTCTTTGTGAAAGGGTTAAAAACCCTGACATTGAAAAATGCACATTGTCCCCTTTGCCAAAAAACTGCCTCACTGATATCCAAATGGGCTTCATCATAGGTGTTGGCACTGCCGGTTAAAACTTTTCCTGTCAAGGTCTGAAGCTTTGGCTCAACCTCAACTTCATGGTATACATGTATGTCGTTGAGAAGGGTTGCAAACAGGTCTTGCACTTCATAATGCCTCCTATGGACAAATCCACCTTTCATAGATGACATTGCATGATCAATCTTGAAGGACATGTAGATGGGAGGTACATCAGCGTCCAGCAATACCTAAGGCTGAGGGTATTGGAGAATTTCCTTTTGTTCAGGTCAAATTTTTTGTAACTGTTTACCAACTAGGGGCACCCTTCATCTTTGCCAGGTTGTTTGCCCTCAATTGCTCAGGGCTCATTTTCTTCCATAGCTCCTGTAGGATGGTGTTATTCAGTTCTTCTCTGGTATTAGCAATCTTTCTGCTTGAGGTCTTGAGTTGTTCATCTTAATTTGCATAATAGAAGGTTTTTTCATAACACAGGCAGAGAGAAATTATCAGCATTCTATACATCCTTTTAAAAACGAACTCCTGTCAAATGTTCTAATCTAAACTAGTTATCACATTTTACCGCATCTTAAAAGGGCAGCAGGGCCCAGATTTCTTATAAGACAACTGGCGACAAAATCAGTTGCAAGGGCCTTTAATTCTGACAACTGTAAAAGGTACATGTAAAATTGAAGCTTTTCCTCCCGTTCCCCTTCCAAAACTTTTCTGTTGCTGCTGTTGTCACTTATTGTAGAGACCTTACTTCCTGCATTTTTTAGCATATGATAAGGTGTGCTTAAGTGATGTTCTGTCAAAATGGAAACAAGGAGTTGCAGATGATGATGTGATGATCACTCACAATCCTCTGGAAAAACTGGAAAGTCCGTTTTTGGCATTTGTAGGTAAGCTAATATGTAAAACACATGTATCTGCTCCTATGGATGCTATGATGGAAAGCACTGCATAATCTATGATGTGTTTACTGCGATGGGAATGTTTCTAGAAGACAACTACGTTTGTTGTACAGAAATAACATGTAAAAACTGAAGGCATATGTCCATGTATAAAATTGCACATCCAACTGGTAAAGTTTTTATGTTCTGACAAAATATCATCAGGTCATCAAGCAAGCCATCTGCATCCACAGAAAGTAGTTTCACTGTAATGGCTATATGGCTGGTTTGCCAAAATGAGCAATTTTATTGCTATTGAAGAAGTGTACATAAAGGCCCAAATAAATCTGGATTTTATTTGAACTGATATTTCACTATCATTTCCCACTCAAAATTCACAATAGTTGGTGGCAATAGTGTACTTGAAGTTTTTTTACCTTTCATACAGGGAATGGAAATATTGGAGTAGTAGCATCAGACAATGCTTACCTTCATTTGGCCTTGAGACAGCCCAGTATGAACTGGTTAAAACTCCCATTTTCTCCCCTTGTGACTGCCAGACCTGCTAATTTATGGAAACCAATAGGTAAGATTGATTTTAGACATAATTGTTATCATTAAATGGCACTGATCAAACCAAATGGAACGGTTACAACTGGTGTGTGACATACGTCTATGAATTAAGTGGCCTCTGCTGGTGGGGTCAGTGTTTGGAAAACAGACCTCACAGGATGATATACGTAAAAGTAATTCAATTGTTGGTCTGTTCTGATCTTAGGACTGATGGAATTTATTGACCTTTAAAACATCACTTTTAATAATAACAAATTATTATTAGTTATTCAGTTAAGTAGTGGAAAGTACATGTATGATTGGAAGCAAAAAAAGTGTTATTTGTTTGTTCTTTCCTCTTGTATCAGTTTTGGATCAACATCGAGATATAAACATGTAATGATCAAGTTATCCATATTCTAGACAACCATTATCTCGTGGGTTTGGTGAATGAAAAGGTTTTTTTTAATGAGGTAGATACTGTAAATGGAAGATAAGTCTTAAAACTGCACAATCATAGCCAAGTCTTCCCATGCAATCCCACCTCCAGACTACATGTACTACCGATATTGATATACATGTAGAGGTGCTTGAAGTGAATTAGCATGCTGGGAAGTTGGAAAAGCAAAAGGAATTTTTTTTACTCAAAAGTGGAAAACACTTTACATTCAATTTGTTCTTTGCAAGAAGAAATATGTCAATCATATCCTTCTTATGACAGCTACATGTACAGCTGTACATGAACAGGCATAGAGGTCATCCTTATCCTGGCCCCAACCCTGGCCCCAACCCTGCTTTCCTACTCACTTGAATCCAACAGCTCCCACACTTGAAAAACTGCTCCTTGGGTCCTAAATCCATTTGCATCAGTATGTTGTTAATCAACCAGGCAACCAGACATTTACTCAGTTAGTCAGTTAGACTGCAAAACAGTTGGGTCTTTTTTCTCAAAATAGCTTTACGAAGGAACAAATTGCCAGTTTTTAGTTTTTTGTAAAGCACTCAAGCCTCATACTGCCTAAGTGTGCATTCTTGACGTTTGCAAAAATATGGGATGTTTTACAGTCTATCAATCCACACGCTGAGTTGACAACAGTCAGTTTAGCCCGCGTGGCAGGCGTTAAAAGGGGAAGGGGATGGGGGAACTTGGGCGCACAAGGGAGAAAGGAAAGGAGCGCCTGCATGGACGCTATTATTTTCTCCATTTGAGAATAGTGATTGGTCAGAATTCATTAAATGTCAATCTTCGACTTAATACCTTTTTCCGATTGGTTGAAATCAACATGACGCCATTTGAGTAACTAAACATATGTCATTAGTGAAGCGTGGTGAGATTTCTCTATGGAAATTCATCCTTAGAATGCATCAATTTCAGCTTTAAAGGAGAATAGAAAAAGGCGGTTAAAGAACGATATGAAGGAAAAGGCCTGTCAGCAGACGAGTTTTACTGATTGGTTCTGAAAAGTATCATCTCCCAACGGCTTCTCGGTTTTACTCGCCAGAAGAAAGAAAGGAAAAATCATGCGTTATCTGCTGTTTGACCCGCGTTATCAACGGCAAGATAATTGAAGACGCAGCGATCTATAATTTTTGGCGATTTTTGGACAAAGACTTCTTCTTGCCGGTTATAAAACCGTCAGGAACTGACTTTAATAATAAATTGGTGCTTTCTTGCAGTTCTTCGAAGTTCAGCTCTTCTTTCCCCGCCACCAGCGTTCTTTTGTGTGCTTTGCTGGATCCAATTCGTCCTGATAGAAATTTAAAGAGTGTGTGATGGCAAAATGTTTTAATTTTCCTTAGACAAACATTGCATTGAAAGTTGTGAAGAGCTGCTACATTTCTTATTAAATAGTTTTCCAGCCCGATTCCTTCAGCAACAACTTAACTCAACACACGTCGTTGCAACTTTCAAGGAAGATTCCTTCGATGGACGACCGCATTTGAACTTTTTTCATAGTACCTTTTCTTTAGATTTCTTGTTTTAGGAAAACAAAAGAAAAACAGTGCAAGAAATACAACTAGAATACGTGCATCGCGGCCAGAGATATTTGACAGCTAGTCATTCACAGTTGCGTTATTTTTGTTATTTTTGTTATTTTTTTAATTATTAGGCAGGATGGCGAAAACAATGGCTTCCATGCAGGCATTCCCCTCCTCCCTCCTCCCTCGCACATGGTCTTGCACCCTAATTCCTTTCCCCTTCCCTTTCAAACTCCTGCTATGCAGGCTACAGTCAGTTAATCAATCAAAATGACATTACAAGTTGGTTAGTTTGACCTGATTGAGAAAAAAAGTATTGTTTGTTTGTTTCATTGTTTTTAATAGAGGCAGGTGTTATTGATTTCAAACAAGGAATGGTACATCAATTCCAGACTTATTCATTTGTAAGTATGATCTATGTATGTACAGTATAATATATTGTATCATTCAATTAAATAACATAGTGCATGTTCAGATGCTGTAGTTCGTGTGAGCCAAATTGGATTCAAATTTAGGCCAACCCAGATAAATTTATTCATTCAGGCAAGTTGAATCATAGCCCTCTCTCATTACAGAAGAACTAAATTCAAAAGGGGAAAAATTGAAGTGGCATAAAAGTCCAAGTAAGAAATTATTTATGCATTTGGTTCAGCCCAGGTGAAGTTCAGCGTCTGAATCGACACCCATTCACAGCCATTATTCTCAGCTGAACCAGGCGTGGAGAATTGGTAATAATAATTGGTAATGAAATAGATAAATTAATAGAAGATATGAAGTACTGTGGTCCAAGCAAGTGCATGTAGTTCCATCTTTATTTGGCTTTTGAGATTTCAGTTTTCAATGAAGTTCTATTTTAAATTTATACTTGTATCAAATCGACACCTTCCCTTGAGTATTACATCTAACTGTGCACTGGGCCAAGCTACCTGCTTTTATTGGTATTGTTCTACCAGTTTGCCTACTGTACCTTTTTAAGTTTGATGTAAGTGTTTTCTTTTTTAACAGAGTCATGGCTGTGTTATAATTGAGAATATTATGTATGCCCATCGCAGTCAGCCATCTGTCTTGGTACAGGAAGTTGTTGTCATTAATCATGGGGTTTGTACACAGACTTCTGTTCCTTATTACAAGTGTCATGTGCCTATTACAAGATTGAGAAGTCTGGTTAAATTGTTTAATGGTCAGCTGTTCTGTTAGTTAACCAGATTCAGATCATGCTGCTGTATGTCCTTCTAAACAAGACTTGATTATTTTAGTCCTTATAACAAGTTTTACAGGTTTGTTCTTTCTTCTAATGCTGATACTCACAAGAGCTGTATACTTTCCTTTCCAGCATGCTGGAATCCAAGTTTTACTCAAACATGAGGGAGCAAACTCTTGGAAAGGCTCCACAACCAAGAGTTTAAGGTCACTTTTCTTTCTTTCTTTTCTGCCATATGTTTTATTAAGGTAATGCATTCAGGTTGGATTACAGCTACAGTGGCCCCACTTTTGAGGAGTTCTTCATTGGAACTTTCAGGGGTGTGATAGCTATACTCCTTGGGGTATGATAAATGGTAACTTCTCAGACAGAAATTGAATACATTAGGGTACAATTTTATTTAATTCCTTAAAACTCAAGTGACACAGTCTAGTACATGTATGTTTTGTCTTATTATCTTAGGTTTTACCTTTGCATCCACTCTTGTTGTCAAACATTACTTGGTATAGCTACATTTTTATTGTTGATTTAAGCATTGTACCTTACAGTCCCATATTCTTTTCAAACCTTACCTTTAAAACAGCAGACTAAACTTTCTGGGGTTGCTACACTCAACATGTCCTTGCATGTCCCCACCTCCTGGGAACGACGTTGTGCATGTCTTGTATTGTTTTCATTTCAGAACTTGTCAAATATTGTAATCTGATTATATGCCTCCTTTTTGCTGCAGTTTTGAAAGAACCATGGATCCATCTAAAGCCCATTATACTGTATCCCATGGAAAGATTCCTCATGTGGACACATCAGAGCCTGACATCAATGTGACAGTAGCAACTTCCAGAGTTCCTTCGGAGATGACTGTTCAAGCTCAGAGGTGTGGGTTGATTAAATTATTCAGGTCTAGCCATTTGACTTTGCAAAGGTAGCACTTGCTTCCTCAGTTATTTAAAACCCTTGGTCTGTAGCCTAGGCTGGTACTCTCCAGACGGCCTTGGTTCTACCACTTACTGAACTAATCCTCGTCTTCAGAATAGCTATATATGTACCTGACAATAATCATCCTGACAGTTGTTGTAGAGTGAGGTCAGTACAATATTATTATCCAAGAAACGGGAGATCAACGCCTTCACTCACAGCAGAGCTAAACCTGTCTTATTGTTTTGTTGTCCTTAATGACAGCTCTGGTATTTTGAGGCACTTGACAGTTGTCCGCACATCTAGTGTGTTTGGACGTGAGGCAGCCAAACCTGTCAAAAGAGTCAAGGAGATTGAACAACTTCAGGAAGAAGCGAAAAAGGTAGTGAACTTCACTCATCACTTTCCTCTACAGCTACAGCTAGTTTGTAATAGCGGCTGTTGAAGGGGATATAACACGTTGATATGACATTGGAAATTCCGGTAGAAAATAATTATTTGGATAGCAGACTTTACAAGGAGGACCATAATCTCATGGCACCGAGACTGAGAAGCTGACCTTCCAACCATGTAGTTAGTAAAAGAAAAATGAATCAGCGGGAAAAGCCTAAATCAAAACACAAAGGCAGTGACATCAAAAACAGTAAACAAATTTTAATTATTTCTAAATGTAGAAATATTGCCGCTTGATTATGGAAACAAGGCCTTAAAAAACGTAGTTTTGTTATGTAATTTTAAAAAAAAATGCTTGTGTCAAGGAGACATAATATTTTTTGGAGTGTTTTTCTGTTTCTGTGTCAGGAACTCAAGGCTCTTGTTTCACTGGATAAACCTGAATCTTTGAGGACATCTCACGCACTGGCCTGGACCGAGGTACATGTACTTTTCTATTCTGTTCATAAAGTTCTAAGTTATGAATGTGGGAGTAACACTTAGTAAAACTTGCCTTTTTCCCTTTCATGAAGCACTGATTTAAACAACTCGTTGAATTCCTGTTCCTTTTCCTACGCTGTATTACTTTTCGAGTAAAATTTGAAAGCCTGATATTCTACTGGGGTCATGTTTTTACCTTTGCACAGTTGTTGAAGACTGGCTTATTTGTGGATCCTCATCATGATGCAGACACGCCCTCTGGTTTGGAAGTGAATTCCACCCTGTATTACGTATTGTCATCATTCCCTACCCCGGCCTCCAGCAGCAGTAGCCAGACACAAAAACAGGAAATGGAAAAACTGCTGCATATTCCAGATCACTGTTTTGGTGGGCCACCAACTATGTAAGTGAGCTGAGTCTACTAGCAATTTGTGTAACTTTTCAGTGAAGAGTCAAGTGCCCGAATAAAAGGCCAAATACCGATTATTATCTTGTACACTGTACGTAAGAGAGACTTTCTAAGAGAGTTGTTCGAAGGTGTTGATTACGTGGATAATGGCGAGTAAAGGTCATACGTGTAAGTCTTCTGAACAAAGCTACATAGCTGGTACATTTACATGTACATTGCAGCTCCTTTCCAAATAAGTAACATAATCTTAAGGGAATTGTTAGACAGCAATAACTCCGCTTCATTCTATTATTCTTACTCCGGACCTCATGGTCGTACTACACGTTCAAATCAGCTACATAGAGAAAAACTGCTTACAAGCTCTACAGATACGTCCATTCTTTTTATATCAGACATTCCTCTAATAAGTCTTCACTTGGGTAAAGCGTATGATTTCCGCGGTGTTTCTTGCTTGTAGGCACTCAGCCTCACTCTGGCCCATGCCCCGTACCGAGGCTGGAATTACCAAGATGGCGGCACTATGGGAAAGGCTTTTGGAACAAAATGGCTGCAGTGCGCTTGTCAGAGCAGGTTGGTAAATTTGCTTATGGATCTCTCAGTTAACAGTTCACGCAACCCTATTAAGCGGCCACTTGTATGAATTCTCAGGACAAACACCTCTCTCTAGGTTCGTCAACTACTGCGTGGGTTGTGCAGTGATACAAAGAAACAAAAAAATACTGCGTTGTGTAAATTTTTATTCCTGTAAGCTTCTATTTTTCCTGGTCAGCTTTTTTAGCTTGGTACAATGTAATAGACCAAGGATTAGCGCTGTTGGTTAGTGCGTGTCCCTCTATGCGGGAGGTCCAGAGTTCGATTCTCAGTTGTGACGACAATTGAATTCCTTCTTTTGACTTCTTTCCTTTTCCGTGTACCCGTTAAACGGAGCATTGATGGAGAGGAGGAAGGTAAAATGACCGCACTGTCGGCCTTAGGTTTGTTACTCACATGAAAATTTCGAGCTACCGACGTAAAATAAAGACTCTTAAACTTTTTTTTGATTTATACTTGGCTGCGAGGCTTGAGGGAATAGAACAAGAGAAATAATCTTGAGCTCACCATGAATAATACATTTTGATTTATACATTTATCCCCCAAATCCTCGGAGCCAAGTATGCATTTTAACCTATCGAAATTGGTCTATTGCACCATCGGTTGATGATAGTCAATGGTACCATGTTGATGATAGTCAAGTGTCTCCGTGAATAAAAGTTCACTAGAACACATCCAATTGCGAGTTTTAACATACGTTGGCGTTTTGGGGAAAGAGTTTTTGCTAAACCAATTAAGCAACTACGAAGGGCAAACTCTGAATGTCTGTACTGAAAAGGGAAAACGCGCACACTATAGGCTGATCGTCTGACAGTGTTTCATTATATTCTCCCAAGGTGCGACTGGTATCGTCCAAGCCATGACACTTAGCTTTGGTGGTCTGCAGTTCTCCGCGGGACATTTTGAATTCGCTGCTAATCCGGCCTCACTTCACACCACTATAACCTTCCGCCGTATTCACCTATATGAGGATATGGATATTTTTCTCTCGGTCACTGTCAACGAGGATAATGGGCACGCAGAGAAGTTGATAGTCAAGCCTGTTAAAGGAGGAAAGACTCCACTTTACGCATGCGAGGCCGGCTGTCAGTATGATCCCGTGGAAGTCGGGTACTAAGCGCTTTTATTGTATGTTCTAATTATGCTTGTGATTAAAACGTATATGCGGAGTACATTTCGCATAGCGAATCAAAGTATCTTGGTACTCTGCATTAGTGGCGACTTGTTTTTCCAATCCTTAGATGATACACATACCTTTTCATTATTTTCAGAGAAACCGAAGTAACTTTTCCGGTGCGCATGACCAAGCCTGTTACACCGCTGCTGTACATATCGCATAACAAATCGGAGCTGTTAGAGCTCAGAAAACATGTCTTCATAAAGGATGCCCACGAAGGTAAAGCCGGCTGTTACTGTGTCCTCTATCAACGGAGGTTCCTGGTCTGTGAGCCAGTATTTTTTCTCTGTTGAAGCAAAGGAATGTTTTCTCTATTATTTGTTCACCTTTCAGTGTTACTCAGTTGGCCCGGATGTAGATACTGGTCAAGAACTTTTATTTTGTTTAAATAATTGGCCAATAGTCTTTTGTTGAAAATGATTATATAATCCCCTGTATTTAAAGGTAGGCTTGTTAGCCAAGTATAAACACAGGCGTTACGTTATTGCAGTGTAATGTCCTCCTCTCCTTGCCTCGCTTCCCACTGAATAGCAAGTTTCTTGCCCGATACACAACCCTCACACTTCATTGTGGCGTTGTTTTCCAATCGCTCTCTTTTCGAGCTTGACTTCAGCTTAGTCCACAGGATTTTCTTCTTTCCAGCTAATTTGGAAAAGGGTCTGGATGGATGGTCTTGAAGCACTTTTGTCATTCACCATTTTCACTTCTCCCATAATACACCTTGTTTGCCCCCCCAAAAAAAAAAAAAAAAAAAAATTTTTACACATTTTGCGACGGTTGTAATATCCAGGAAAAATAAAAAAACAAAGGTTATGCAAAGTTTTGGGTGACAAACAAGGTGTATTATGGGAGATGTGCGAATGGTCAGAGTTCAAATCTAAACCCTGAAAATAGAGGTGCGAGTATCACACGTAACATTCACTTGTTTGGTCCTCGCTCGGCTATTACATGAGTCATTAAATCTCTCAAAAATTGTTCTTGATATCCATTAGTATCGTTGCTTTGACTGACTTACTTTAACTAGAATTTTTGCTTTTTGTTTCAGAATCTCTCAAGAATCGTCACGTACATCATCGTTCCGGATTGCCAGCAAAATTCTGGGTTACGATTGCGTTTTTAATTGTTGGTTTTCATCTGTACTTAGCCAAGCTAATCTATTCCGAGTGTTTTAAAGAAAAGGACATTGTGAGATCAAAGATTTACATGAGCTGACAAAAATGAGCTTATTTTAAAAATAAGGAAAATTTAAAAGTTGGGTATATTTGCATAGCTGATGCCTTTTTTTAATTATGACAAAATTCTCCCTCCTGACTCCTAAATTCAAATATTACCGATTTTATTTAACGCTGTAAAAGTTCTTTCTCTAAAATAATTGTTGAATAGGTACCAGTTTTAATAAAGAGTTATTAATAAAGAGTTTGGGATTTTTCTATCAAAGGGGAATATTTTTGGCTGCTTGCAAGTAAACTATTTTGGTTGCTTTTGTTTTTGTTTCTTTGTTTCTTTGTTTGTCTTTTTTTTTATGGTTTTTCTTCTCATCTCACACTTCGTGCTCTATTTTGTGTCTTGTTTTGCGACAGGTAATCATTCTCCACAATCGTAACTCATGGGACATGTTATTAACACAAATGTTTGGGTTATGCTTGGCTGGCCACCCTTGCTACAACTTTGCATTGCACATTTTTAAAAGGACGGAAAATTATACAGTTTCCTTTGTTACAGAAATCACTATGAAAAGTTTTGAATACACAAAACCTGCCATCAGGCTATATTTATTAATGTAAGACCGCATCAAATTTTACCTTTCCGGGAGCGCGAGAATCTTTTTCCAGGCAAGAAGAAAATGGGGCTTGGTCACGGGTTATGATAGAAGGACTAGAACTCTGTCTGTGTTCACTTTTCCTGCGTTGAAATCAAGAAAGATGGTAATTTTAAACTTGATGAATAAATGTGAAAGATGTGATAATAAGGCTATTGTTCATACGGCACCGGACGAATTTTTTACCAGTTGAAAAATTCAAGCGTCTAGGTTTTTCATTCATACGGAGCCACCTTAACGGTAAGAAAATTTAGACGCCTAGCCATTGAAAGTTCCTTGTAAACAGAGCGAAAATATTGAACGGTCCCATGTCAACAAAGTGTCTGCCGGTGAAACTGTTTTAAAACAGCCGGTACCTGCCGTGTGAACGTATCCCTTGCAAGTATCTCGAACATTTGGCCTTTCAAACACCGACTTGGCTACCTTTCCTACTGAGTAAATCCAGATATAAACGTTTTCCTTCAGTGCCTGTATATTATCTGCCGTTTTTTAAAGGAATCCAAATTATAATTAACTATTATTCCTCGAGCCCGAATGGGCTCTGAGTAAATAGCCCACGTGGCCGAAGGCCGAATGAGCTATTAACTCAGAGGCAATGAGGGCGAGAGGAATAATTGTTTTAGTAAACTCCAACTAGTTGGTCAAAAATATCGAAAATAAAAAAAATTTTTCTAGTTAAAGCTAGATTTTAATCCTTTTTTGCCGCCAAACATATAGCCTAGTAGTAGCTCAACCAATCAGAACGCAGCATTGACAATAGACCACCAGTTGGATTTTACTAATAGTCGTTAGCGTTTTTGCCAGAAACACAATTTCGATGATGTAATTGTTCTCCCTCTCACTCTATCTGAACGCCTGGAACAGGCTAACGGTGTAATAGCATTTGGAGTTACCACTATTGCTTCATGCTTATTCACGTTTTAGATACGAACCACAAAAACTACTGCAGATAAACAAGTCAACAAGCTGCTTCGAATGCCACTTTGCATCAATTCTAGCATTGATATCTTATTTCTGTGCCAAGAGCGTTCATTTCTCGTCGCATTGAAATCAAGGTTCAAGCAACTCTTAATTGAAAAGATTTCTTTGCGAAAGTGCATTGTTACCCATATTTTTTACCCGACTTCGTGTGGACTGGGCTTTATATCACTCTGATTTCGTGTGGGAGAAGAGAAACTTATGTTTGAAAGAGAAAAGCTTAAAAAGATAATTAACGGGTTCAATACCGAAAAGAACTGCATGGCTGGACTATAAAAGTATTAAAAATAAAGTTAATTACGAAGTACTGTAGAAATTACTTTATCAGAGAAAATTCAAACTGAAAACATAAATCAGACATGGAAAGGGATTAACAATTTACCGAGTAATAATCTAAGTACAACGTCATTTAAAGACAGAGAATATAACAAAACAAATTATACTACCCCTGCCATGATAATGGAAATGCTTAAATTCCTATTTTATTGAAAGTGGACCGAAACTTGCTTCCAAGTTGCCTTATATGTACAACGTATTGCTGCAATGAGTTTCTTTAATAAACAGTCGTGTATTTATTTTTCTCAAAATAACGAAAAAGCGACGTTTTGCGCTCAACAGTAACACCAGTTTTTAGCACACTTACAAAAAGGTAAGTAAATTAACAGTATGTTGGTGATATTTCAAACTTTGAACTGGGAAAACAACAATCTTTCCTTAGTTTTTTGTAAATAACACAATGAACGAGTTAGCCTCCCACGTAGGTGACGGGAGAATCCTCGCGTGGCCTAAAATTGAGAGTGGCGTCACGAGCGCCTTGGTAACACGGGGTTAACACGGGGTGGTTCCCAAGCTTCTTTCATTTACTGTCAGCATAAGCACTGCCTAGCTTGTGCATTATTGTAAAACTTACATGTGATTTTTTTAAAACTCCCTGGCTTTAACTCGTAAGGATTATAAATTACGTTCTTTAACACTGTACATAACATGGGATGCTTAGGATCGAAGGAAGATAAGGATTCTAACGGAGAGAAAACCGAGGAAAAACCAACTTACAGCTGGTAAGCTTGCCTCCTGATCTATCGATCGTAATTTAAAAACGCTTGCTCTCACCGTCTACTTCCTTAAACGAATCTGTTACACTGTGATTTAAAAAAAGAGAAAAAGATAGTCGACAAGATCAGAGGAAATTCACGCACCAGCTGTTTTAAAAATTTCCTTATGATCATTCTGTCACCTGGTGATAGCACAGGCAACGCAAGGTTGGAGATTCGATAATTGACCCACATATGTTATGAAAGGCTATCATAATTTAAAAATAGACTGTTTGATTTCCAAACGTCATCACTTTAAGCGCAAGTTTAAGTATTCACTTACGTTTAACCTAAATTTAGGTTAGGGTTGAAAAAGGTGTCAGCTTGTGTAACCAACATTTCACCCAAGTAGATGGGTCAAAAGAGTCCTTTATAGCTACTCTCTTTTGTTTTATAACATTTCAAGTTTTCATTGACCCATGGCATCATCTGAAGGAGTGTTAGTAATGTGGATCAGAAAAAACTCAAAAGTATGTAACAAAAATAATAGAAAGTAGGTTGAGTTTGATCGTCCAGGTGAACGTAGTCCTGAATAGGACTGTTGTTGTTGACAGTGAAAATAATAGAGCAGCTAAGGGCTCAAGATTGTGCTACTGGCCAACAATTTAAACAATGTTACACATGTTGTTTCATCTGAATTCACAAAGCACTACCGATTTGCATTGTGAGGTTTGCAAGCATGCAAAACACTTATTAGGGAAAAAAGAGAGAGACAGTGAAACTTGTATATATAATGAAATCAATTACAGGGACAAAAGAGCCAAATTGGATCCAAAAGACTACTCTATCAGTAATGTAACAGGAGAAACAGTTGGGAAACTGCCAGGAGAAATAAATGGACAGCAATTTATTATCCAGAATTGCCAGGTATTTTGAAAATTAAAAATACTGTAATACATGTATACTTATCGAAAAAGGTAACAGCGCTTTTTTACCCCTACACCCTACAATTTGTATCAAAATCTCTTTCTTTATTGACACAACTGTTAGGTGATGTAAACATGGTTCCTATAACCATGGAAACCCAGCATCGTTTACCCTAGAAAAAACATTACATTAATGTTTAGTACATGTTTTTGTTTGTGCAGGGCTGCAACATTTTTATCTTGGATCACACAGACTCCGTAACAATTGATGATTGCATCAACTGCCGTATTGTCCTTGGGCCATGTGGAGGAAGGTTAGTTAGTGTATTCTTTTGAGTTATTAAACCTTAACGGCCATGCTATAATATGGTTGATCAATGCAAGTACAGTGTGCACTACTGTTTGAAAAGAGAGTAGGATGTTTCTTGATTGGAATGGTTTGTCTGACTGTTATCATTTCGCTCACTGCACACGGTTTCCACTTCAGGTGTGTTACATTAAACCCATACTTACATGTAAGTTGACTTATTGTGGCCGCCAGTGAAGCCTTCTGTGATGATGTCCAAACATACTGCAGGTCTACACTGCACATGCCTAGCTCTCATCTGTGACAGAACTCTTTTCTCTTATGCATTATAAGGAGTAATTAGGTTTGTCGTCAGTCACTAATGATCAGAGCTACATGTATTATGCATACCATCGCCAGTCAAATATTTTCTAAGTACATGTAATTGTTAGTATTTTAATTATTACAGCTGAGGCACATCCAACTATTCTGCTTCCCATAGCATCACAGTATCCTCTATTAGACATAAACAAGGAATCATGCATGTAATTCAGTTTTGCTTCTTTGCTTCTTGTCTGAAGTTCAGTCTTCATTGAGAAGCCCAGTTTCTGTACTACAAAAGAGCGTATTGTTATGTTTTATCGTTGTTGCAGTGTGTTTTTTAGGGATTGCAAAGACTGCAAAGTTGTGGTAGCCTGCCAGCAGTTCAGGTGTGTTTGCTTAATTAACATTTCTAATGCATGTATGAAAATTTTGTGTTGTTCTTCACTGTATCCTGTGGTAATGCATTCATTCAGTTCTAATACATGTAGTGAATCTCTGTGTGGTGCTGCCTGTAAAAATGAAAAAGGAGTAAAATTTACACCAAGTAGCACCATATTTTGATGAGTCACTATGACAAACTATAATCTGTTCTACTTCTTAGAACTCGTGATTGTAAGAAGATGGACTTCTTTCTATGTTGTGCTACTCAACCCATTATTGAGTCGTCAAGTGGAATGAAATTTGCTTGCTATCAGTATTTTTACCCTGAACTTGAAGGTAAGAAAATTATCATTGGGTAGAACTGGCCAGCTGAAGTACCAGTATACAGACATTATTTTAGATAGTCACCATCAACATTCAAATTATTATTTTTATGTTACTTGTCCTTGATATGTACAAGTACTTTGCCTTTGATTATTATAAGTATTTTATTTACATGCAGCATTGGTCTTCACTTAGATAGTATGTAATCAAATAAATGGTAACAAGTGAAATTAGGTTGTACAGTGGAACCTTGATGAAGGGCCAAGGGACTGGCAATTAATTTGATTGCTATAATGAGGTTTCATTAAAATACGTTAAATCGAAGTTGCAATGTAATTCCACATGAAATTTCCTTGACATTTCCACTTCATTTTATAACACTCATAGAATCTTTTAAACCTGGATGCCATATTGAGACATACAAAACATTACCATAGCAATAATAATTAGTATATATAATAATAAATTTCATATGTGAAATTGTTAGTTAATGCTGGCAACACTCATAGTAAGCAGACAGTTCTACTTTTTCTCCAGCTTCTGTATGCAAGATTAAATCATACATTTGAGAAGTGATGCATTTAGTGAAAATGAGAGACAACCATTTTATACAATACATACATTGTACTCAACTTTATAATAGTTAAATACTGTGTAGGTTGAAAAAATCAATTCTTTGTTCAGTACTGTTTGGAAACTTTAATTAACTTTGTTTAATATACGTTAAACTGCTCAAATTTGTCCTCCTTCAAATATGTACCCCTAGAAAATACCAGCCCTCTGGGTGTTTAAAAATAAGTGCCCCATTCAATTAAGCACCCCATAACCCTCCCTCAAGAAAGAAAAAATCACCAAATACACATGTATGGTACATACATAAAGAAGGATTTAGAGGACCTTAGAAGATCAGGACTTTGAGAGCGGCGACCTTACATAGATTTGTGTTTCTTTTTATGCAAAAATGTAAATATGTTATAGTTTAAACTGTTACAGTGTGCATTTTATTTTGACATAAAAATGTTTAGCCAGGTACTAATTTGGAAATAATTTTACAGTGTATGGCAATTTTAACAAGGAGCTTTCGCTTCTCCCTCCTCCGCCATACCACCAGATTGGACAGATCTGGCTGAAAAGACAATAATTATTATTAGTAACCAAAGAGGAGTTTATTTTTCAGGTCAGTTTGATGCAGCAAGGTTAAGCATATTTAATAATAATTGGAGTAAACTTTATGACTTTACACCTGCCGCTGGGGAAACCACATGGAGCTTGTTACCAGAGGTATTTAAGAAAACATAAATGGTGAATTATGATAATGAACTTAGAACATTACCTACTTGTTCATTAATTCTTGGGTAAAAATGACATTTTCTTGTTAAAATTAATTTCCTTCCTCAAAGTCCTCTATGGTGGCCGAGAAACTGCCAATCGAGAAATCAATCGAGAAATCCACATTTTGAAGGAATTATTATTTTCTATTTCTATCTGTAATTAGTTTCCACTTTCTTTTTAACTTTTATTTCAATTCAAAAGAAAAGCGAAAGTAAAATCAAGTAAAATCAAAATAAAACGAAATGAAACCAAAGTAAAATCAAATAACATCAAAATTAAAATCAAACAAGACGCTATGGGAGCGTACACTTCGGCACAGTGGTTGTGCGTTAATTGTGAATGCGAAGGAATAGTAAGAAATGATCCAAACAAATACCCTTACTTTTCTCCTTTTGTGTAACAGACGTCTTAACGTCTTCACCGGAAGTCTGCTTGGTGCATGACCGCGTGGCTATATACCCAATTCGATTATAATTTCTGTCATAAATATATTGCGCACGACGAGATCTCAATTCCACTTCCTTTATTTCCTCTACAACAACACTTTCCTTAATGTCCAGTTAACTCCACAACTTCTCCAGCAACGTAACTAACTAACATCAGTACACTGCCTTACAAAACTTGCTGAAAATGCACAATCTCCACACCGAGGAGCATTATTTCGACCGCTGGATTAAGAAAAAAAAAAACGCAAACACGGCAGTACAGTTCGCGTGAAAATTATTATAAGGTTACTTCGGGCCGTGGTACAGAACTGAAACTTTGATCTATCGGCGGGGAATATAATCGGCAAACTAACAAAATTTCGGTTTTCCATGGCGTAAAACGAATTCCAAGCTAAAGTTCAGGGTAAAAAGAAGGTTTCGACGGTAAAAAGCCAAACTGAAACGCACTTTGGAGAAACATATCACGCGACATAACAGGACACAAGCGAAGTGAGACGCACTGAAAATTGCTCTTGTATCTCGATTTTCGCTCGTATTTTGAAGCTACAAGCCCAAATTGCTTCAATGTTTTCTGTAAAGTACTTTTGCAGTCAATATTTCTAGCCAGAATAATAAATAAGAGCTTGAAGATATCTCGAACTAATTCCAAAGCAACCTCGGGACATTCGGAAGCAACTTTGATACATTCGTGAGCGTCGCGAATCCTTTTCTTCGCGCTCCTCCGAAGTAACAAGCCGAAAAGTCACGAACTTGCGTGCCCAATCTTTTCCCGAAACTAGTGCATAATTTTATAGCTATTTTTGATGCAAATTCTAAACTACCTTGGGTCGCAGTGGCGCAATCGGCTAATCCCTCAACTTAGAGTCTCCTCTAATCTGACGGGCCTCACAGATGAGTGGGTTCAAACCCCGGGCAAGCCGAATAAGTGAAAGAATAAATCAAAGAAATCGAAGTGACCTCGAGTCTCGAACTAATTCGGCTCTCACTTCGCCAAATAGCCGAATAAAACCAAAAACCTACAGACTTTGCGTGCCCAATCTTGTCCCAAAAAAAAGCAACTTTGGTACATTCCTGAGCGTCACGAATCCTTTAATTCGCGCTCCGCCGAAGAAATAAAATTTTCGACCCAGCCGAGCGCTGCCACCACCAGCATGCATTGCGTACATCACGTAAATTTTGTGTTGTGTGTACGACCCTTTCTCTCGAAAGCCTCTGGAAGAAGCTCGAAGATGGCGGATAACAGGTTTTTATCGTGGAAGGAAGATCACCTTAAAGGGGCGATGCCGATGTACGTTAAACAAGGTCTTAAACGCGAAGAAGCGATCGATTTTGTGCGAGCACGGCTTGCCTTAATAAGCGCTGGAGTATCCAAACTCTCGACAAACGTTTGCGCCATTTCGGAGTTTGTAACAAGAACATGGGGGGTTATCAGGGTCAAAATTCAGTTTTCCTGTTTTGCTGTGCTATTTTGTTGTTTCGTTATGATGTTTTGTCGTTCTGTTTTAACATTTTATCGTTCTGTTTTAACATTTTATCGTTCTGTTATTCGGGCGTAATGTGTAATTATGCAAATCTGTTGTGCTATTTTCTTGTTTTGTTCCACAGGGGACAAGGAAATTAATTTTTTTGTTCTCAACATGTATTTTATCTCACAGGATACATCAGCCCGAGTTGAAGATCATATTCCTTTACCAGACACAGAGAAATTCTCCAATGTACAAATTAAATCAGATGAACATTTCAGTGTGATACCAAAAACTTTGGGAACAAGAAGAAAACCCTTTGACGAGGTATGTACTGAATAATCAATCGACTATCCGCTTGGAATCCCCTGATTACCTAAACATCTTTACATGTGTATTATCAAAACATCTTGGTGTCTGGTGATAGCGACATTTGTAACATATCAAAAGAGCCGTGTGACAAAATGTAACCAAGTTCGGCCACTGGGACTTTGGCCACCGAATGAAGCGAAACAAAAGCATAATAGTTATTTAAAACATTAAGGAAATGTGTACAACTGTACAATGTAAATAACAGAGCAATAACGGATTAATAAGGCACAGAGCTGAGGGAAATAAATGAAAAAAGATTAAAACGGATTCCAGCCAAACAGTTTTTCAAATTTTTTCTCGCTATGGTTTGTAAGCTGAAATTGTGTCACATTTACAAGTACTTTTCTTGGCTAATGTTAAGTACTTTTGCAAGTAAGAAGGAGTAAATGGGAATTTATCTAGTAAATAGAATGAACTAACTGCTGTGCCATGACACCCGGCTGAGCCCGCGGAGTAATCCTTCCCTTTGGTTTCCCATACTGCAATGGAAAACCGCCATATATGCTCCAGCAGCTATATACACAGTATGGAGAGGGGAGGGCTGTATATCTTGTACTGGTTTTCTGATAACGACGACTGCAATGACTTTGTTCAGTTTTTATTCTTTCTTTCTTTCTTTCTTTTTTTTTTCTCTCTTTCTTTTTTACGTTCTTGTTGTTCCTCTTTAGTCCTGTCTAGTGGTATTTTTTCACAAGGATAATGTCAGGAAAATTATAAAACAACTGTTACATGAGCAAACACAGGTAAGGCTTTTAAAGTTTCAAGGAATATTCTTAGTTCTTAGTATCGCGGGGTGATCTTTCTTGATAAAACCTCGCTGACGAAACCGTATGAGTTTGTCATAAGGTCAAGGTGGCAGGTCTCTAGAAATAACCCTGAAATCACCGTAACAACAAATAAATGAAGGTGATCGTTTCGTCAGAAACTGTGCCGCGGCGCTACATGGGTGGGGAGTAAAACACAAAAATTACACGTAGTTTTGTCAACTACGTTGATCAAATATACAGCATACCTGTTTTCACTGTACCCCATGGGTCACCCCATGGGCCTAAAGAACACCAGCAGTAAGAAATAGAAACCTCGTGATCTACATATCAAGTGACTATATCGTGAGACAAACGAAATAGTTATGTATTATTCTTGTATATTCCATGATGAAAAGCCAAAAGCTAGAAATTTCCATTTTTTCAGTACCCTCGAATACTTTTGATGTACTTGAGCAACGTATTTCACTTATTAGTAAAATCCATCTAGTGATCTATTAACAATGCTGCGTTCTGATTGGTTGAGCTACTTCTAGGCTATAATTATGTTATAGCCCACTTGTAGTGAAAAGCCCCGCCTTTTAGGCGGCAAAAAAGGATCAAAGTCTAGCTTTAACTAGCTAAGTTGTTTTATCTCGATATTTTTTACCAACTAGTTGGATTTTACTAATTAACAATTATTCCTCGAGCTCGAATGGCCTCTGAGTCAATAGCCCATTCGGGCTCGAGGAAGAATTGTTAAATATTTACACCTTAATATTCCTTAAATTTTTTCGCGTCTTTGCTTTTCCCTAGAGATCATGTGTGTTAGTCCAAACAAAAGAAATAACCATGAAGCCTGAAGATGTATCGAGGATATTTCAGTCTGAAGACTACTCAGCTGCAGCCCAACAAGGTATTTTTTAATTATTCCATTGGATTTATACAAAATATTAGATTAAACACCAAAGTTACTTTTAACCCTTGTTACACGCTGATTGATGTTCTACATGCGAGGAAAACGTTTTATTTTTAGCGAGATGGTAGTTGCCTGCGTTGCAGCCCGGCGGCGGTCCCGCCCTCACGCATTACATAGCTAGTATAGTCACGCAGACTAGATGGTCGAAGCACGTCCAGATTATATTTCTCGTGTTACCAGTGACTCCGTCTCAAATTTTTTTGCTTTAATAACTATTTCTCTAGGTCCAGCTATTGGTTTGGAGTTCAACAGCAGTGATTGTGTACGAATTACTACGGAAGCTGTTCGATCGCTTTGCGGGGATTCACTTTCCAGCATATATGTCTCACCCAATCCAATGAAAGCATCACAAGATATAGATGCCTTTTATAACTTTGTCGACATGTCCATGACTTAGGTAGCACTCAGACGGATGGATCCCTTTATTTGGTGTTATGTCCCTTTTTCACCTCGAGCAATCCCTCATTTGGCAAAGAGGATATACGGAACAAAAGCTCCCATTGAGATAGAAATACGTTTGACTTGTTTTTCTTTCTTATTATCTTTTTTGATGATGCGATCCGGCCGAATTTGGCGACACAGTCGTATTTATCTCTTGGTAGCATAATGGTTCATTTCGATGGTTACTCCGTTGAATTTCTGAATATACCATCACATGGTAACTCTATACGAGAAACTTCACCCTGTCTTTCTCTACTCAGTTTTGGGTACTGAGAACTTAGGTCCCTGCGATGGACTAGTATTTCCCTCATTCGCCTGTGTGTGTGTTTGTATTGAGCAGGAGGGGGGGGGGCAGTACCCGCAGATGCTTTATGTTTTAACCGCCTTTTGTCATGCGTCTTTACCTCTTTTATTCTATTGCGCCATTCCCGTAGTAATAGCCTAAAGTCACCCGTAGATATTTCTTTGAAGGAGGACATTCTAGACAATCGGACTTGATTAAAATTTTTAGGCCAAATGTTGAGTCCACCATGCGGCGACCACAGCCACCAACACACGGTTTAAAACTGATTTGTTGGTGAAATCGACAAGTGTTGTACCATTTTTTCAGCGAATGTTGAAACGTAGTATCACCACTGAAAATAGGCCATTCAACGTGTAGAACTTGGTTTGGAACAAGAATGGAGATGGGCTCTATTTCGTTCATCACGTTGCAGCCATATTAGCAACCAAAGCTACATTTCAACCGTATGACTCTGAGTCAACGCCGGCTTAATGAGAAAACATGGACTTAGATTTCGTTCCTATAGACAGAAGGTTGTTGACATCACTGAAGTTACAATTTAAAATGTGAAGTTTGAAAAGGTGAATTTTCTTTATTTATTCATATGAAAATATATTGCAAGTATAACAAGTAGAAGTATATAAACTAAAACAGCTTTTCCGTTTGGGTGTTTCTTGGCAACAGTATAGCCTTAGCTCTTCGAGTTTCTTTGGAGAAACCACTGCTCACAGGGTATTTTCTCTTAAGATTAGTATTAGTGTTACTCAATCGTAGCTTTTTATTTGTTTAGCATTAGTTTATAATGCTAAGTTTTGTTGCTATAAACTGTTAATTTAAGTATGGATCAAGGAACTTAATAATTTATTACCTTATTTTGTACTCGGGAACAGCCATATTTTGTAGTATCTTCACGTCTTAGTTTATAATAATTTCCGCCATAAAAGAGCTATATTTTGTAAATTAGTATTCTCAAATATCGAAACTTTGTAATGCGGTCGGCTATAGTATCCATAACTGATGGTAAGCAGCAATTATTTCTGCTTTCGTTTGTGTTTTTGTCGGTATCTCTGTAGTACTCATCAAAAATATATTAAAAAATATTTCTTTGTTCAGTCCTCATAGTGTCCAGGGAGGCCAAAAGGGGAGCCGTTATACGATCCTGTAAATATATTCAATTACATTGTACCTGCTCGCAAGACCCTGGGGCGAGAATGAATGTCAATAACAATTAATTAAGTTGGTCATTGGTTTGCCCTTTGTACTTCAGTGACCACAAACATTTTGTAAGTAAGTGTTTAAAATGTACAGGGTTTCCCCTACAATGATTCAAATTGTAAATGATTGAGTCATCGGCTTTTTTCTCCACTTTAGCGACCTAACTCGTAATACGATCTACACTGGAAATTGAAAATATTTCAAAACCATTCGAAAGACAGACTGACGTCCATATAAAATGTCAAAGTAAGAATCGTATTCGCTTTCAAAACACGGAAAACCAATATTTTCTTTTCTTTGTTTCTGCTAAAACATTGCTATTCTAATTATAATGACGCTGCTTGTTCTTTCGCTAACACAATTGGCTAAGGGCTTGAAAGATTTCAAAAGCAAACATTTCGCACTGAATGATCAGTTCTAACACGTCATGTTACATCCTTTGCACGAAACAGCGAAGAAAACATGAGCATACACTGAGGCGAAGTTAAATCAGTCAACAAGGCTTCTTGGTGAGGCGCAAAGCGAACTACCAAAAAATGAACAAGTCCTTTTCAGAGAAGCACCCGATTAAGAAATTTGATGAGATTGTACTAATGTGCAATGGCTGCTTTTCACTTATTCTTGCGGTAACAATCTTTTTGACAAACATCCTCCTGGTTATGGCGACAAGAAGAAATCCTCTTCGCTTTAACAAGGTAATCGACAAAATTAACATCGCGTCCTTCTACCTCAATCTCTTGGCTTGTGTGTTTTTTCTTCCTTGCTTTGGAATTACAGTGATTCTTCAGAGTTTGCAAATGACCAAGACAACTGTCCTTTTTGCAAGCAACCCAAGTTATCTGTCTGTAACAGTTCTTCTATTCACGCAGTCAAACGTGGATGCTGCCCTCCTAAGGACGATTGAGCGAAGCTCAGCGTTTATATTTCCTCATTTTCATCGCCGTTTTATGACCAAAAACAGAGTGCTAATCACTTTGTTGCTATCAGAGTCTTGTGCCCTGACATTTGCTTGTTTGCAGCTTACTGGAATAAACAAAATCGTATTTTACACCGTTTATATCCATATGTTTATTACAGCCCCAATGTTTGTTATGTTTATTTTGGTTAGCATTACTTACTGGAATATTAAGACCAATAACAGAGTAATGAACCGAGAAACTCCTCAATCCGCTGAAAAGCTAGAGCTTCACAGAAAACGGGCTTCAAGAACTGCAAGAAAGTACCTGATACTTGTTTTACTTCTGACTGTACCAATGTTCTTGTGCATTTTACCTTGGTACATTTTAACTATCATTTATGTCACGTACAAGGACAGTGTTAAAACTGATGCGGCATTTCTAGCAGAACAATTTTCTATATCATTTCTCTTTCTCCCTGATCTCTTTCTACCTATTATAAAAACACTTCGTTTCAAGGAATACTACAACTCGATAAAACGCTTCCGAAGATGAACGAGCGTCTAGCTAAATTATTCCCCGCTTAAAGTACTCATCTTAAAGGGCAAAAATTACAGTTTGTCAGTTTAAATGTAGAAAATAAACACACAGAAGAAACAATGCTGCTGGCTTTAAAAATCTAATTAAAATAAAGACAGCTGAGAAAATAAAATGAACGCCGACCCATTTAGTCAAGTCAATCTAGGCAGTTTTGAGCGGCCTAGCCTGCGAATCAAGCGCAATCTGCCGAAATGATACTTTGTGTGCTGCATGTCGAAATTCAGCTGAAGCTTTTGCTACAGTACACCCAGAAAAACAGAAAAATTGCTAAATAAAAAACTACTCTCCAGAGTTCTTTGATACCCCCCAAAAATATAATATTAAGCTTTACCTACATGAAAATCAATAGTGATTACTCTAGTACGCAAATAAAAGTTTGAATTTTGACATATCAATTTGACAAATTCTATATAAAGTGTTTTCATACTGTTTAGAATTGCCGCGAAGTGTTTGGTCAACAACTGGTATTCTGAATAGAAGAATGCCTGTGCAAATAAGCTTTTGGTGTTTTAGTTTTTATTAAAAAAAGTGTACTTTCTTGTGCGATTATCATTTACAACACTTTTCGTTTTAAAGTAACCGGATCCAACCTTCTATCCTTGTTATCTTGTGCTGTTAATTAGGTTAAGTGTGCTACCTTGTGAATGGTAAGTAATAGTTATTGTATTAGCAAAGTTCGTTCAGCTGCCTTGCACTAAGATAACACCGCCTTTTCATATTTAAATTATCTATTCTCTGCATAAATACTGTAAGCTTTGGAAAAATGTAAATCTTATTTTAAGTTACTTCTACTAAACAGAAAACTTGTTAAGAATATTTTGTAACTATAAACAGATCCTTTTCCTCAGTTTCTGGTGTTGTGTTTTTGAGCAACAGCCAAGCTCCAGCACTGAAATGTGGAAAATAGATTACGGTATTTAAAGATGACGCATCACCTGACTACAGCGCTGCTTTCGAAATTCATAAACTGAATTTGACTCGAATTGACAGTTCGCGCCGACGATAGCCAATAGGGACCTTACGATCCGACATGAAAACGTCGCTGAAAAAAAGACTTCGCATCATTTTAACCTTTTTCGCGATTATCCCAATTCGTCCTGTTACTTAAAAGAAGGGGATTTTGGCTGGTGCTGAAGACAGGGGAACGCGCTCAAGTTCAGACAGAGATGGTAGAATTTATCTCCTTGCCGTTCCCGTTCTCAAGTAAACCTAAAATTTGGTCATTTCACGTCGTAGTTGTGCAGTGAAGGCAAAGAAATGTACAAAAAAGCGTGATGCGTGTGCAGAGTTTTTTGTTTTGCTTATTAAACCTATTGTTTTTTGACGTTCCTTTTGCCGTCGTCGTCGTGGTTTCGGTCCCTGATGATTATAGCGCCAGTAACGGGAACGTATAAAATGCAGCTAGTTGTAAGAACGAGAAGTCCAAAGACTACTGCAAAGCTGATTTAAAACAACGTGTATTGTTTTTTATATAATAATATTTCGGCTGGCCTTACCAACCTTCTTCAGGTTTACAGATGTTACTGAACTTATGTAACAATCACAATGTTATATAGATGGAGAATGTCGCAATAAAAATTGTTTAAAAGGGAGAGGCGGAAACGACGTACAACGCAAAAACTGGAAAGGAAAAATACTAAAGAGATGGATTACAATAATTCGTCACGGCGGTTTAGGCCATGAGGTTCAAGAGTCATGGCCTTATCTATCAAATGCGACTCCCTGGCTTTACGAACTGAGTCACGTGAAGAATGAATTTTCTCTAGTTGGATTAACTGCATGTCAGTATGAGAATGGTTAGAGTGAGAGAGAAAGTGTTCAGAAACAGTAGTGGGTTTAGATTTAATGTTAGTTTTGTCGACTGCACGTCTGTGTTCCTTAAATCTGTCCTTCAGACTTCGCTTAGTTTCACCTATATATTGTAAATTACAACGTTGAACCATGTAGATCACGTTTTTAGTGTTACAAGTTATGTGTGAAGAGATTGAGCATGTTTCACCAGTAGCGGAAAAGGGGTTTTGCTAAAAGCAGGCCCGCGGCCCACGCCCCGCGACGGTCCCGCGGCCCGGAGGCCCAGCAGCCCGGTGGCCCAGTCCTGATTTTCCACAGTTTTTTGTCCAGCGGTAAATCCACGCGCATGCACAGATCTGCATCGGGTTTGGGCGAGCAAAATGGACGACGGTGAGTTTGAATTCGTTTACCATTTTAATAATCATTTCAATCCTTTTCGACCCTTTTTTTCGTTGCATGTTGCTAAGTGAAAAACGTTGTCATTCTCTGTTTATTCGTCTGTTTACAGAACCCGATAGAGAGGAAGTCCATTCTCCAACGATGTAATTTATTTCAAAAAGAAACCACAGTTTGAAAAACTCAGCCCTGCTCTCCTTTTGGGGTGTGGTTCCTGTAAATAGACCGACATGTCCCTGTATAGAAAAAGATTCGCAATTCACATATCTCATTACTTATGATATTTTCACTTTCAAAGTATGGTTTGAAAATAAATTACATCGTTCGATAATGAAAGTCCTCTATTGTGCTATCGGTTTCTGTAAAGAGACGAATCCCGGCCGCTTGTCTCGGATACCTCACCGAAATGCATTGACCGAGAGGGTCTGGAAAGAGGCCGTATAGGGACTAGGCAATGCATGCGCGTGGATTTACCGCTGGACAGAAAAACTGTGGAAAATCAGGACTGGGCCACCGGGCCACCGGGCCGCGGGCTGCCGGGCCGCCGGGCCGCGGGGCCGTGGGCCGCGGGCGGCTGGGCCTTCGGGTCGCTGGGCCGTCCCGGGCCGTGGGCCGCAGGCCGCTGGGCCGTCGCAGGTCGTAGGCCCGCAGGCCGCTGGGCCGTGGGCCTGCTTTTAGCAAAACCCGGCGGAAAATGATTGTTGGAGATAACGGGTAATTGTGCTTTTAACTAAAATGTCACGAAGATTAGGACTACGTCTGTAAGCAACAAAAGGCTGTTGCTTAAAGACGTCTTTGCCACGGTTAGAAGAGTGTAAGATAAGATGTTAACATGTTTGCGTAGGATATTAGAAATGGGTGGAAGTGCTGGGTTATATGTGACAATAAATGGTACAACATCGTTAGACGCTTTAGGTTTAATCTGTAACGCGTTAGTACGAGAAATATTAGCAGCGCGTAGGAACTGTTCTTCTAGGAAATTATAATTATAACCACGAGCAAGGAGATATGTTTTAAGTTCATTAATGCGATGTTTAAACTTAGCCTCTGTAGAGCAGATACGGCGGAGGCGGAGGGCTAAGCTGAACGGAATGGCTTTCTTAGTGTGGTGAGGATGGCATGATGAGCTGAGAAGGTGCTGATGTTTATCGGTGGGTTTAGTAAATAGATCAGTTTCAATTATACCGTATGTAGAGACACCATAACGCCGAGAAAAGGAACGTTAGTAAGTGAGTGAGAGCTAGTGAACTTAATAGTGGGATGAATGTTATTGAGATAATCGACGAATATTTTCAAACGATCTGAACCTTCTGTCCAGATCATGAAAATATCGTCGATATATCTCCACCATGTGTAGATAGATAGATAATCTTTATTTATCCACGGTAAAAAATTCGTCAGCTTTAAAAATGCCTAATACTAATATAAAAAAAAATATTTAAATAAAAAAGCTGCTTTCCACGAATGCCGTGCCTTACAGTTCTTTGAGTAATCGTTTAAATTGCCCAAGGGACTCTGCTTCCCTTAAGTTACAGGGAAGACTGTTCCAGAGAATGGCGCCATTATAGCTGAAGCTGTTTTTGTAATAGTTTGTGCGCGGTAATGGAACATTGAGTTTATTTTCAGAGTCCCTTAGGTTATATGCGACTTCTCGCATTTCAAATTTAGAACTAAGATAGTTTGGAGCCAACCCGTGCAGAGACCTGTAAACCATCGTAGCTCTTTGAAATTGTTGCTGGCAAGCTAGGTTTTTCCACCCTAGAAGTTTGAAAAGGTGACCAGCATCTACGTCATAGCTTGAGTAGGTCAAAACACGGGCTGTTCTGTTTTGTAGCTTTTGAACCTTATTCCGTAAGGTTATCCCACAGTTTCCCCAAACAATGTGGCAATAATCAAAGTGTGGCTGTATTAAAGCTTGATATATTAGTTGTAAGGTCGCCTGAGGGACAAGGTGCCTTATTCGTTTTATGGCCCCAATACCAGAAGCGACTTTCTTTGTTACTTTCTCGATATAGCCACTCCAATCAAGTCTGTCATCGATGGTCACTCCAAGTGATTTTGCAGTAGTGACCTGGCTAACTTGAGGGAGGCTGCCAAGGGGCGTTAGTGAGAGCGTTGGTTTCGAACATACCAAGAAAAAGGTTAGCAAAAGAAGGAGCCATTTTAGTACCCATAGCAGTACCATGGATTTGAAGATAATGCTGTTGGTTAAATGTGAAATTATTCATGGTGAGAATCATGCGTAAGAGATCACATAGTGTCTCTGTGGGGATGTGTTTGTTAGGGCGGGTATCAAGAAAATGACGGCATGCAGCAACTCTTTGATTGTGTGGAATGTTGGTGTAAAGCGATGACACATCAAGAGTTACAAGAAAAGCGTTGTTAGGTAGGTTACCGAGGTTAGAAAGTTTATTAAGGAAGTCAGTAGTGTCTTTAATGTGTGAATCCAAGGTAGAGACGAGAGGGTTAATGTGGTAGTCAACAACTTTTGAGATGCGTTCAGTCTGAGAGTGGCTGTTAGATGAAACTATGGGGCGTCCAGGATTTCCCTTTTTATGTATTTTAGGTAGTATGTAAAAACGTCCTGACCCTTGAACCTCATGGCCTAAACCGCCGTGACGAATTATTGTAATCCATCTCTTTAGTATTTTTCCTTTCCAGTTTTTGTGTTGTACGTCATTTCCGCCTCTTCCTTTTAAACAATTTTTATTGCGACATTCTCCATCTGTATAATATTGTGATTGCTACATAAGTTCAGTAACATCTGTAAACCTGAAGAAGGCTGGTATGGCCAGCCGAAATATTGTAAAAAAATACACGTTGTTTTAAATCAGCTTTGCAGTAGTCTTTGGACTTCTCGTTCTTGGTTCTTTATATTTTTGGCTGATTTGATCTCTTTTCTAGAGATCCAACGTTTACAACTAGCAGGATCTTCGTCCACGGTTTTTGCAGTTAATTTAATCCTTTAGCTAGTTGTAATAGATTTCAGCAAATTTTCTCCGGTATCAATCTTTCTTGTTCACTTCTTTACCATGGATGGTACAAATAAAGGGTCGCAGTGAAATGCTTCACAGTCTGCAGGCCATTTCACCACCACAATAGTACTGGTCAGTTTGACGCCACAAGTGGACTAATATGACAATTATTTTCAATGAAGAGACCCTATTAGACTTGAGAATATAAAACGTTTTGAAAGCCTTTGGAAGAATAAGCTCCCGTGAACGACTTTGGAAAAGATCTCCCAGTGCCAAGAAATGCGGCTGCAAGTAAGAGGTAATGACGTCATTTCGTTGCTTTGACAACTACGATGTGAACACAGTACTGTTTATAACAATGTCCAGACAGTCTAATGAAAAAAACTGTGGTGATGTTTTTTGCTATACCTTTGCTAATGGCGACGTAGTAAGTATTGGCCCTGAAAAATCCCGTCGAGTCGCCTTAGGATCTGTTTACATGGAAGTGGGGGACCCCAGGTAGGTGAGGTGAGCCGCTTAGGTGGGGTAAAAAAATAGCCCTCCTTTACATGTAACCTTACAACCCCGCCATCCCGGGGTGCATATTTTCAAGATTTTTGGAAATTAATGCTCTTTTATACTCATGTGCTGCTCTTGCTTCAACCTTCAGTGCTGTGGCTTTCTATTGCTACCTTTAATAATGATGCAAAGCCACCGCCAAAATGAATTTTGCGCGAATTTCATGTATTCCGAATTCGACCCCGGCTGAGAGGGTTACCCCACCTTGAAACGTTTACATGGCCACATTTGACCCCGGCTGAGAGGGTTACCCGCCTAGGAGGGTCACCCCACCTATCATGTAAACGTGATCCAAGTAAAATGAGAGATTAGATGTACAGGCGGGTTACCCCACCTAAGCGGGTTACCTCACCTACCTGAGGTCTCCCACCTCCATGTAAACAGGCCCTTAAATTCCTATCGGCAAACAACAAATTAAGTATCGACCACAAAAAAAGAAAATACCAGTTTATTTGAAGCCGTTATTACAAACAACAAAGGATTCAAGACCGTGCCCTGTGGAACACAGTACAATAAGACGTTTTTGTATTTTTAGTGATGAAAGAACCAGCCTGAGTGGTTATTGACTATTCCACGAATTCCGAAATTAGACAACTTTAGTACTAAGGATTAATTATAATGATCACATGACCCTTACAGATCAATATAATCCCCACATGAAAACATGTCCTTGTTTCCCTCAACTCTGTTTACAATGTCTAAGATGGCATGTTCCGTTGAAAGTTTCCCACATGCAAACATAACTACTTCTAGCTCTTGATGAGCTTGATTATTAAATGCAAAGCTACAAGTACCCTGCGAGCATTGGTTTCTCCAGGCCGGACGCTACGCTACGAAGGGAGAGAAACCACTGCGAGCAACCGTTTGCTTGTCCATTGAGCATGCGTATCCACGTGATGCCTACGTCAAAACGTCAAATGACATCACTTCCTCTTGCTTCGCAGGAAATATTAGGGACTTAAATATCCAACGACAAGACGGCAACGAGAACGTCAGCAAAACAATAGGTTTAATTAGCAAAACAACTTTGCACGTGCATCACGTCTTTTTGTGCATTTCTTTACTGTTTTTGCACGACTACGACGTGAAAATGCCTAACTTCGCGTTTTATGGATAACGTAAACAAACAAAGACGAAATTTCATTTCTCTTCCTAAACTTGGATATGGTCCCTAGGAATTCAACTCCAGTTAGGTTCGCCTAAATTTGACAAAGTTAGCAGCAGGTAGGAACCCAATAAATACTCAATAGGCCATTTCCGAGTTCCCCCGGGCCTTTGATATGCAAATGATTTTTTATTCTCATGCAAATAAAAATCATTTTCACAAGAAAGGTTGTGCACTTGGCCTCATTTTGAAAGTGAGGGTTTTTGGAACTCGGAAGTGGCCTGTTGAAAGAGAGCAAATTCACAGCAGGCTCGCGTTAAGGCAGCAGTTGTAAGCGTAAGCAAATGTCCGAGAACCTTAACTTGTTTTTAAACAGGTTTTACATGTTTAAAATTAATTTATTCGTCCATGGCGCAAGACGGCGGCTCGATCAAAGAAGTAATCTCGACCCCAGAGCTCTTCTGCGCATGACGGCCAGGGAGGAAGAACTCTGGGGAACCCTGGAACACCGACATCTTTGCCAGCTATAATTTAAGAAGCATGACACATAACTGATTTTTCTTCGACTTCCACGTTATCGTATTCACACGAAGTAGCCAAGTATGAATGAAAACTTTAGCTTGACGTCGTAAATTTCCCAAAAACAGACTTGCAAGAGAAAAGTAAACAGAAAAACGTTTAAGAGTTTTTGCTCAGCAGCTAAAGTACCACAAGAGCCTTGGATACCTGAAAATTCTTCAAGGGCTCCGTTAATTTCTTTAGCTCTAATTCCGAAGCAGCACAAAACTTTCGCGATGAAGTAGATAAAAAAGAAGCGAAACGTTTTCGTTGAATAAAAGAGCATGCACTGTGAGACCCAAATAGCCAGATTTTGGCTACTCCGGCGCAGAGTTTCCCAGAGCTTACGCGCGCATTCCCAAACCCGTAAGCACTGGGGTCGAGAATATCAAAGAAGCAGACGGTTGCTAGCAGTTTGGCTCGCAGTAGCGTTGCGTCCGACTTGGAGAAACCACTGCTCGCAGGGCATGCTATAAGTGACAGTATGCAAAAATCTGCAAAGCATTTCTTAAGTTTATGGAGTTTCTGCTTTTACATTGTAACCTACTAACTTTCAAATAACGTTTTATCTGAACATATTTCTCAATCGTATACAGTAGCCGTGTTTCGTTTCGGTGGAACTTGCAAATGTGAAGTTCGCTATTGCATTTTTGTCAACTTCTATGACGCATTCGAGTCAAGCAATTGAGTGTTAAGAAATCTTAAAGGGACGCACATTTGATTATCTGACCAAGATAAGTACTGTACAAGTTTAATATTATTTTCCCAAATTATTAGAAGCACAGATGCACACCTCAAATTATTTTATAGTCATCTATCATGATCTTCCAAAACCTGGAGCTCTTACAATAGTCAACAGGAGGGGAATTCTACTTGCGTGAAGAAGCAGAGAAGAAGCATAGCGCGTAAGAATTGCGCCCTCGTGTTTGTATCGGGTATGTATCGTACAACAGAAAAATCAATGTGTTAGTGGTTTGCGTGGCGTGTAAAAGGAAGAGTGAGAACATATGACTCGCGTGAAACGCACGATGGGCGCAGAACGTGAAGGAAGTGCACCCCTCAAGGTCGAGCACCCTGGCGATACTCCATCGTCCGTCCAGCCTCCACTGTAGCAGGCCAATGCACTAGTTAGTTTAAAAAAATGCGCTATAGCCCTATCTATTTTGTCTTCTTCTTTCGTTTCTTGGGCAAAGGACCCTGTAGGTCAGTGCGATCTGATGAGTACTCAAACATCAGCTTGTTGTCACTTGTCTTTTTATCACGATCCCTAAGACAAAAAATAAAACAGTTGATCGCCATATAAGGCAGCATAAAGAAGTGTTGTGAAAATGCACTTAATGACAAAGGGAAGAAATTGAGTGGATTATCAAAGTAAGAACTGTTGTCAATCATAATAAATAAAAAATATATAGAGAAAAACAAAAAATTAAACCAATATCAACCCGCTTGCCTCATTTGATAACAAGCATGTGGTCTAACAGTCACTCTTTCACGTCTTTCTGAGGCGTCGAGTTAAAGTAACATGACTCGCTCAATTTGTCTGCCAGAAAATAAATTCTTATGCACCGAACCAAGTTCAGAAAGAATGCTTTCGTTTCTTCTTAAAACTTCGCATCGGAAAGTGTCACTTGGTTGTCATGCAGTGAGGGCTGTACTAAACAGATGTATACCAACATAATTCTCTTCTCATAATCACTGTCCTCCCTTTTAAATTATAACCTTACCTTTTCCTTTTCTGGTTCTTGTGCTTCTTGGTTGAGTGGAACATTTCTTTCGGGGCATCTCTCAGAGCGAAACTTTTGGCCACATGCCCCAAGTGCAAGTTCTTGATATGAAAAATGTGCTTCAGATTGCTGGGATAAGTTGCGTACGCTCGCACAAATGACTGATATGCTGAAAAAGTCAACAGGCATATTCAACAGGTCGGAACTTCCATAATTCTCTGGATTAAATCTGATCGCCAATTATCGAGTTACATGATCATTTTTCCTACACTGCGGCACTGCGGGATTTCCACGACTGAATAAATTTTGCCGAATGAGCGGCAAATGAAGCGTTGAATGTTCAGAGTTGGTATCTTAGGCATCCCACAAAGTGACAGACAAATAAAAGAAAGACAAAGGTAGCCAAACCATTGGTGCTTTCTTTATCCTCTTCACGTTCAAAAAAAAATTACAACTGAAATTATACGATCGGGGACAAGTACATGTATGTGTCACCGGCCTAAAAAAAGTGAGAAAAAAAGAAACTTTCTCAATTCAAGAACCCTCGTGCAAACGTGGCCTTACTTCAAAACAAGCGGCATAAAAACCTACCAGTCTTTGCTGCTTTCAAATGACGCGGCTCGGAAAGAACGTAATCCTCAAAAGAATTCTGCAAATTTGTGGCTGACTCCTGCGCGTTGTGGTCCAGAACATTCTGCAGAATAAGACAATGATGTTAACGTGAGTGGTTTAAAACCTCCAGTTATACTGTGCATATAACGTGGCGAATTGGACACTGTAATAAAGCATCCTATACATACACACATATTACCGACGAGGAACAGTTCTTGTAAGTATCAGTGTTAAACTGACTGGTTATGATACATGCTTTCAACTCTATTTTTCATCAATACATGAACTGGTTTCTAAACATTTCATAAGTTAAAGTCATACAGTTCAATATGATACATACATAAGAGGTATAGTGGCCACCAGCCAAATACTACTCACGTCACTGAATTACTTACCTTGGTTTTCCTCCCTGACGAAACATGGTGAGACACAACCAGGGTTTTGAGCACTTCGTTAACAAATAACTCGTCAGGGCTGCAATGAGACATCGTTATTATAAAGTTGAGTGATTATTGACAACCACAAATTGGAAATAATGCGGGCTAAGAGAGACAAACAACGAAACTAAACTGAGCAAGATGTTCAACCCATCTGGAGGCGCGAAAAAACTGTAGCGGGGGGAGGAGGAGCGTTTTTTTTAATTGACAAGGCTACTGCCAAATAGTCTAACAGTCATTTAGTTAAACTGCTGGGCTAAAATGTAAACAAAAGAGCCCATTCATCTGCCACAGACATCCCGTGACAGAACATCCGCATAAAGACGCTGTTTATTTAGAAACTAGCCTGCGAGCAAGCTCTCCATTTGAGGGAGTCGCGAGAAGTCACGTGAGAGCAGCACACGAAAGGAGACGCGAGTGCGAGGGGCGTGTAAAGAAAGGGAGAGTTCTCCTTCCCGCCGCCCCTCGCGGCTTGCTTCGCTCGCCATAAATGGAGGGCTTGCTAGAGGCTATTTACAAACCTGATTCCATGTTTCTTTAGTGTTTCTAAGTACCCCACCTGAGGACAAATCAGAAGAAAAAAAGCAAACAATAAAGGGAATGAGTAGAGTCAACTCTCTCTATAAAGACGGACACCTTTGTCTAAGTCTCCGTCTTATAGAGAGTCAAATAAAGGGAGTAAAGAAAGGCAGGGACCAACTCTAAGTGTCCGTTTTACAGAGGTGTGCGTTAAGAGAGAGTCGACTGTACATTGAAAATCTCTTACCGACAGCTAAATGTACCGGCTCAACCCCACAACTCAGTACCACAGAAGAAACTTCTACGTTAGCGTTTATGAGGAAGACAAGCACGACATTTTTCCACAACGACAATAACACTATGGATTGACAACAAAGTCAAAGATAACAGTGTAACAAAAAGGCAAATAACTGGAAGTGGAAGGTTTGGAAAAATAAATGGCTATACAAAATACACCGAACAAGACAAACAGGATCAGCTCTCTCTGGCTTTGGGGTTTATCATATATAGACGCCACCGACATATTGGTAAGAACAGCATTCATTTAAACTTACTTCAGCAGGAGATAAAAAGAGCAAGGCATTCCCCTTCAGTCCGATTCTTGCTGTGCGACCAACTCTGTGAACATAATCGGCTGGGTTTCCTGGAGTGTTGTACTACATTATATACAAAAAAATGTGGAGGCAACTTGATGTAAATCACTCTTATTAAAAAAACTGGACTGTAGCAATACTCAAGCTGACGTTAATGTGCCAAGCAAAAGCGCATTGGTTCCTCAAAACATAAGATTCTTTAATTTCACTCGTTACAAATTTAAATCACAAAAACAATGTTTGTAAACAGTTATGCCTCCTGTAAAGGCAAAAAACGCAAGAAAACTTGCATTTCAAATATTTAATCTACCGGTAGCGAAACAGGATATTTCTACTTCGAAGAATAGTTTTGAAAGAAAAATAATGATGATGATTAGTTTACCTGGATTATCCAATTAACATGAGGTAAATCCAATCCTCTTGCAGCTACGTCCTGCAATATAAAATATTAAAATCATCTACTGAAAAAAAAAGGCGCCATTAAGAAACAACAAATGAACCGGGACTAATATTCCGGTTCTTGTGTTCAACCTCGCGCGATATGTTTGAAATGTCATAAGGCTTTCACGTCCGGTCCGAATACATGGAAAAATTCAAACACTTTCTAGGCTATTCAGAGTACTTTAAATTCTCCAGAAATGTAATGTAAGCGGCGTTACATAATTTGTGTCTCTTCGGTCATCCTAGGGGAACTTGAGTATTTTCGAAATTAAAAGGGCTTCAGTATTATTTTTCCGAAAATTTTAGGTGCAATTAACCGTTATACGAAAGTGAGAATTTTTAGGATTCCTCAGTCTCCATCACATTTTAGAATACGAAAATTTTAAGTTTCCTTTTTCTACGAAAAAGAGTGTAACGTGGGTAGTAAGATATGAAAAATTAAACTTCAGAAAATCGTGGAGAATTATTAGATAAGCTTTGAAAATCTAGAAGTTTTTAGCCGTCATAAAGGAAAAGAAAATTCTAGGCAATATTTGCTTCTCACAGATATTTTACAGAAAACATTCGTTGGGTGCCCCTGAAGGCCGTGTGAAGTGGATCAGTTTCAGAAAGGATTAAACAGTTTCTCGTGAACCACGTATAATGCCGCGTACCGCAACACACTCATCGACTTTAGGAGTGAACAAAGGATACTGCATGAGATTCCACGCAATGCTATAAATAAATAAATAAATAAATAAAGTGTCTTTATTGTTCAAAAGATAAAATTCATACACGCAATAAATAAGATTAGTATATACATAGAAAGAAATACAAAAATCGAATACTACACTATTTACAAAGCCACAGGTCTATTAAAGAAGTATTCTTAAAAGTGAATATTGCGGGAGATTTATTCCTTAAGCAATATTATCACGTGCAATAAGTCTTACAATGTTGCACAAGGAGCACCTCTGACCTTTAAGGTCCATATAAGATATATAAGGTACAGAACAAATCGCTGAATCATGGACTAGCATGCTTGGATTGGTATTGAATCTGAGGGGCCAGAAGAAAGAGAAACGGGTAGAAAATCGTGAATGGTAAGCAGACACAAAAAAGCTTATAATAACTTACTGTACAAAATAAAATGCCAGTTTCAGCGTCAATAAAGCTCTTGAACATGGCTGTCCTTTCCTATCAGGAGAAGGAAAATTATTGGTATATTCATCTTAAATTACCATTTTCCTGTAAGCTTTGTTTTGACCCTCTCACGTACTATGCCGAGAACACAGAGAAAACTTCATTTCTCATGGCTTCGATCCTCTTGTCAAGTGTAAGAACTACTTCGTCACTATAACCACAGAAGTTTTTATTTTATGATTTTACATCACAAGTTTGTGTACTTAAAGTATTCTATCTTTCGTTTTCTGAACCAAATGGAATGAAGTGCTGGTGGATGCTTACCATCTGAGACATACTTCCATGAAGCTTAAGAAAGGTCAGTAGTGTCTCTGAGAAACAATAAGCTGCAGTTAAAAAACAAACAAACAAACAAACAAACACTGTGAGGTGTCGGGGTGGGGGTGGGGGTGGGGTAAAAATATAGGAAAGAAAATTGTGGAAGTACCCACACCACCTGACATCAAAAGTTGCACCGCGTTACTCCTCATAGCATAACAAAATGCTTGCCAGTCCGGCTTTTCCTTTTCTTTTTTTTTTATTGTTCCCTTCACCCATCATCCAGCCACAGACAGATCAACGTTATACAAAAAAATGAGCACACAACAACTCTTAATATCCATCCTAAAAAAAACTTGCGTCGCATACTAACATAAGATCAAACTGAGAAAAAAACTTACTTGAATGTGAACAAAGACACTCTTTGAATAAATCAAAGTGGAAATCAACAGAGTCGCGACTTGACATAAAAACTATCACTTTGGCGGCCGGTGAACCCTAAAGAAAGATATACATTGCGTAAGACAGAATGTATTCACTAACTTTGCTATAACACCCAGGCCCTCCTCCATACAGTGTTGTAAGACTGCAATACAGACCTCAAGAAACTAAGGCCAAGATCGTTTTAAGAGATGAGTAAATTCAGTTAGAAGCGAGGTCCAAGTCACTCTGATGCTTGTTATTTAAGAAAAAAAGAAAGAAATGACGATGCACTGAGGTTGTGAGCCCCGGCACACTAGTGGCTAGCGGGGTTACAAAGGTTTTATCCTTTCATCTACAACTTAAATGTGTGCACGACAAGAAGGATACCTCCCTTCCTCCCTAGGGCGGTACCAGGGGTGGAACAAGGCTATAGGCGAATCTTTGTTGACGTCATTGTTTACATTTTTCCTCATTACCATACAACTTAACTCATAGAAGCCGTGGCCATAAATATGAACTAAATGCAAAAGTTGAAAGAGCTGATTAAGTTGAGCAATTTGTGCAATTTTCAGCTTTTTGCAAGGAATATTAAATGAAATATCAGCCTTCAAAAACTGCGAAATTGCTGGGTGGCATAAAAGTTAATGGACCACACCTTGTCTGTAAAATTCCGAGTTTTTAGAAGAGAATTTCTCCGAAACCATTCGGTGTTTTGGGTTCAAATTTTCAGAGATAACTGAAACTGATATGCTCTTTCAATATTCAGAGTTTAACTTTTTATTTTATTAGCGATTATGAGGTAAAACGTGTAAACAAAGATTCGCTTAATTTCACTACCTGTGGCTGGTTTTTCCAAAGTAAAAATGCTGCCAATGTGACCAAACGTAACTTGCTTGGGACAATCATAAAGAACTGTTTCAACTGCTGTGGAGTGGTATAACTTACATCCCTTGAAACCTAGAATAGCAATCAGCAGCAAAGTGGAAGAGTGATTTAGATGGCTTGGGCGTGCAATGCACAGCAAGAGGCACTCGGTGAGTGCCTAAAGAAATGCAAATAAGGAAAATCCTTAAGTATACAACAATAAATTAAACATAAGAGAACTGGGCTGAGTTGCTCAAAGCATGGTTAGCTTTAACCATTGGTTAAGCAGTATCAAAACCACTAAGTTGTCAAGGTATTAAACGCTGGTTAACGCTAACCATGCTTCGAGCAACTGGGCCCTGGACAAAATATCATAGAGAGGAGACAGTCTGAGTAGTTTCTTTGTATTACAAATTATCACTAATTTTGAGACGACGGCTATACATTTATGACGAGAGTAATTTTTTTCCATCTTCTCTTCCTTTCCGGTAGCAAGTCTTATTTATCAATCCAAAGAAACCAGTAAACTTAAGCCAAAAAAAATTACATAAATTTTACAGCCGCACTTGCTAACCTGTACCGGCTCCTTTTGTGCTTTACTGTCGTTGCCTGTCAGGATCTGATCTGCTGTGATGTCAATAAATAGTGGCTCATGAAGGCTGATACCTGCCAATCTCTCCACGGCTTTGGGAAAAATATAAATACAGTATAGCCAAAATCAATAAGGAGATTAAGAGTCACGTTTACGGTAAACGAAAAACGTGGGTTTGTACACGTGACCAAGTTTTCCCTTTACTTGTCGTTTACTGTTCATTATAACTACACGGAAATCGGTAGATTCACGCCAGTTCCATTGTTTTGAGCTGTTTTTATTTGCTCACTTCATATTTTAAACATTTCTTGATGTGAATCTCACGTTTGCCGTTTGCCGTTTACCGCCGTAAACGCGATGCTTAATCTCTCTATTATTTGTTGGTACACCTTCAAGCTTCATTCTTACAGAAGTTATGTTTGGTAGCTTGTTAATCGTCTTTTTATTGATTTCAGTCTTACTCCTAAGATACCTCCTTCTTTAAAAACATGATCACTGACCAGAATGAAATAGAAACCCACTATAGAACGCTACAGCTATTGTACAGCTCGTTTACCTTCACCAAGTGTAGCAGAAAGCAGAATGGTTTGACATTTTACACCAGCAAACAGAGCCTTCTTGACAGCAGACAGAATAGACGATACATCCTTCTCAAAGCCTAAATCCAACAACCTGTAAATTATACGGCCAAAAGTTACATTCTCAGTCAACCACAGAACTCAACAAAACTGGTAATGTACAGTGAAAAGAAAAAATATATATAACAAAATTCATTAAGAGAAAAGCAATTTACGGAAGAAAAAAAAGAAAGCGTTAAATTGCAAGCAAGACTACACAGTGGAACATAAAGTAAGAAAAGGACATCCAGTTCTTCAATTAATTTCTTTTGGAGTGGCGCATTCAACGTAAGTTCTTGCTCAATACCTGTCAGCCTCATCAAGGACTATCCAGCGAAGTCTCTTTAATTCCAAACTCCTAGTTTTCTAACGATTAGAGAATACAATGTACATCTTCATTATAAGGCAGGCAGGAAGAAAAAACATAGACACAAGTCTTAATCATTTCGTAATAATGATGCAGGTGTTTGCTGGGTCAAACTAACTCATATGGACACCAAAGGAAATCCTTACAATACAGTGTGAGTGGGGCAGTCTGCCGGGAAGTTAATTTGATTGTACCACGTTTGGTCCTTCTCTCTTTCGACTCACTCTTACCCTCCGTAACAAAGGTGGGTTCCGGATACACCTGTAACACTCACAGAGAATTTATCGGACAAAATTTCATTCGTGAGCTAAGATAAGATGCGGCTTTACGGTTGTATCTCGCCCCAGTCCCCGCCGCGCAAATTATCCATCCTGACTGCGATCTCAAAACCATGTCCACCTTTCACAGCAGTTTGTGAGGAAACAAGCACGGTTACCCCCGATTTTTTTCTCAGGTATTTGCTACGAACAGTCTAATAAAGAACATAATTGAAGAACAAAAAAAGTTTGATAGTAGAACATGATTTTTGGGGGGGAAATAGTTTCGTATTTGGTGTATTTGGGTCAAGGCGAGGACTTCCAGCTAACTTCGAACTGTCCGAAAAAGTGCAATATACCCACAACCAGGCAATCAAAACCGAATTGAATGAAGCAAGACTGCTTATTTGAATAAAAGAAGCATTATGTTCAAGATAAAATTTTGTATGTTTCAAGTAACAAAGACTTAATTCTGTAAGAAGGGGATTCGAATGTTTAACGCGCAACCAGTAAAAATACCCCAGTTTAAGAGACTGCTGACGCGTAAACAAGCACGGTGACCCCATCTTTTTATTGCATTTTTTTCCATGTTCATATCATGAATGTTGATTATGCGAAGTTTCAAAAAAAGTTTGATAGTAGAACAATTTCAAGGGAATTACTTTAAATCATGAAACAATCAATAAGAATGGTAGTGATGTACCTCAATGTGATCGAGGAGTCGTCCTGGAGTCGCAACAAGAACGTTTATACCTTTTCTTATTCTGAAAAAAACAACAACATCAACAAAATAACACTTTTTCTCGAAAAGATTGAGTCTAAACAGCCTGAGTTGCACGCGACAGGGAAAATGGGGGCGCAAGCCTGACCTCTTTTTTGCAACTCGTGCCCCATATTCATGCAGGGTCTGCGACACTGTAAGTAGGTCATTTGTTCACCCAAACCTTGAATTATTAAAGTGACGCAATAGCAAATTCCTGTGGGTCCACTGATTTAAAATAGTATCTTACAAACAAAATTAAGAAATTAAAGCTATTTGAGAATTGCTTTTCCGTGATCCTGTTTCTTTGTTATTTGTAAAAATCTGCACTGAGTGGAATCTAAGTCTCAAAATCAGATGCGTCACAATTCAACTGGAAACTTCTATGCCGTTTTACTTAAGACATTGTAGCACTCGGTTTGTGTGAACAACTTTGTTATGCAGGTCAACGGCATTGCATTTTCCAAAATAGAGTTTCAAATTACCGGGCTTTCTCAGATTTCCTTTTTTCTCCTCCAGTGACAATTCCGGGCACAACCCACTGAAAAGGCTGTGGAAAACAAGAAACATCATGCATTACTCAAACATTAGAGCAACCTCGTATGTCACCCACCTTTTGTAACAACTTGTTCAAGAAAAGTGAGCAACTTTCCCATATGCACAACTGTGCACAAGTGTGCACAAAGATATTCCTAGACATTATGCTTTTATGTGCTTTACTGTGCTAAAAGGGAACAAAATATTATTACCTGCTCAAGTATATTTAGCTAGCTAGTCATAAAATTTTATACTTGATGACAGACAAGGATCACACATGGTTTAAGCTTGAAAAGCAAGTTCGAAACATTCATTTTTCACTAACTGGTCAATTATACTTAAGTGGTGAACTGCATGATTTTACATTATACTGTAGTCAGTAAAGAGTAATGTACCTTAACCAGTTTTTGCAATGCATCAAAGCTTTGTATGGCCAGCTTAAAAAAAATGTTGTTATACACTGTTAGCAAAGTATGAACTGTAAATCAATAAAATATACAATAAAAGTTACAATTAAACACTCAGTTACACGTCCCATAAGCAACAACCCAAATGTGAAGACTTAGTGGTCGCTTACGGGAGGTGATCACTAACGAGAATCGAGCCACAGAGTCAGCTCTCTACTCTTCCGTAAAGGGGTCCCGGCAAAACACCTAGTTTTTGGAAGATGATTTATTGCAGGCAAGTTTTAAGTTGTGCGTATACTTGTAGTTTCATGTTGACACTGTATGTTATTCTAATATTATGAGCGGTGTAGTACAAAAGGCGAACAAACACCACACCAAGCATCTAGTGGTCGCTTACAAGAGGTTAAAAACAATGGAAAAACTAAATACAACTGTCAGGCCAAAAACTGGTGACAGTCGCTTATGGCATTTACGAGAGGTTCTGATTAAAGGGACAGATTTGACTGCATGCAGAATTTTGGTGTTTTGGATCATGAGGTGGTTGATTATGAGAAGTGATTTTACCATACACTTTTCAGTTTCTTGTTATTGTTAATTTTTCCAATATTGTAATTACAATTGTTGACATTTTTCAGTGCAATAAGCAAACGTTTCAAAGCCAAGATATACAACCGTTTTTGTGACTTATATGATAAATACACTGTAATATAATTGCCGCCACCAAACTTGCTGAAGTATTCTCGATCTTGCCAAACTTTGATTGCAAGTGCAGCGTAACACTTCTTTTACACCGTAAAAATGCTTAGATGCAAGAGAAAATTAAGAAGAAACTAAACTGATATAACCTGTAAACAGGTTCCTGTCTGCTCAAGCTTTCCACCTTTCTCTTCGTCGTATACCCCTCACGCCCACTAGTTCGACAGATTGGGCTGAAACCTTAACTTGAAAAATAAAGTGTCAGGGAAAAAATATGAAATATTTACCTCTCTTGTTGGAACCAGAATTATGGCATAAGGCCCATCATTTCTCTAAATGAGGAAAAAATGATACATTCATCACAATTAAAACAGACTACTAAAAACAATCGTGTTTCACTGCCAACAAAAACCTAAGTTACTGGCTAATTAAACAGAAAAAGTAGTATTACATGTAAGTTACAGAGAGTATGATTGACAAAGGTTTTACTGTAAGCTTCTTCCATTAACAAGTGAACAACGATAACACATACATTTAATTAATGAAGATAATACATTTGAATAAGGGCAAAGTTAGATTGTTTAAACATGCACATTTACTCACAGTTATTTTTGGTTTTATATTCTGAAGGGAATGTATTACCGGCACTGCATATGAAAGAGTTTTTCCTATAAGAAAACAAAAAAGTATCAAAAAGAGTAAAAAAAATTCATGTAAGAAGACAGTATAATATGTATTGTAAGGGATACTAAACCATAACCAACAACAGTAATTGAAGGGCTCCCTATAAATTGTCCCCAGATACCCTAATACAATGTAGTTGGGAACAAGTTAGCAATCCCACTTCCATCATATCTTCCACACCATCTGATCTAATCTATAGCCACCTACTTATTTTTCTCTCCTTCTACTAGAAATTTTCTTTACAACCCTGATACAAGCAAAAATTTAAAGCAATGTACAGTACTGCACCTGTACCAGTCTTGGACTTCACAAACACATCTCTGCCTTCCAGCAAGGAAGGAATAACTGCCTTTTGTACACTGCAAAAAAGAAACAGTTATCACTATTAGTGAGAAAGGCGTTGTCACATGTATGTTCAGTAAAATGTCACAAGCATATCAAACAAAGAAGGATCTAAACAAGATTGATGTACACAAAGCACCAAGCCTTAATCTTGCCATACTCCTTCGTATATTAATTATAATTAGACTAAAGTGTACTGAATGATTAATTTTTTATTATTATTGCGGAATTGATATGAGCCAACATGCTAATTATCTTAGTCATCTATTGCAAGGAAAGTCATTAAACTAAAACTTCTCAGTGGTTGTTTTGGCACCAATCACATGTAAATCATCAAACATTGTACTTTACTATCAGTTCATCAAGCTTGTCTTAACCAACATTGAACAAATACCTGGTCATGGTAGTCAACTTTAAGTTACTTTCAAGATTGGATACCTTTTGAGGATAACAGTATAAGCATTAAACAAAATACATTTGCTTTCATAATAGTAAATTATTATCAATCAAAGTTGTTCCATCATGTTAAGAGGTATAAGGATTATCAGCTACCTTCAGAACTTACAGTAGTTATTTGATCTGACGTGTACAAGCTACCTTGGCCTGCATCACTGATATGGATGTAGAGAAGAATATTAAACATTTTACAAGCTGTATGTAAGAATTTGATGACTCCATTAGTGTCCACAGGATGCCTATCAGAGAGATGCCAACCTCTGGAGATCTAATGCAATACCCATGCCCCTCCCCCTCAATATCATTGGAACCCCTCTCCCCCTTCAAAAAGCACAAATCGACATACATCATGACGTGGGAATGGCTTACAGGTACATACCATCAAAATTAATTATCATTCGAAGCAAATTTTTCTTACTTTTCATTGGCCAAAAGCCCACCACGTGACCTGCAAATAACTCCCTACAAATAATGGTCTGCTCATCTGCAATGCCGTCCAACAGTGTTTGGCTGCAAATAATATTCTGCTCATGCGTAAAGGAAACCGTGCTTTTCTCCTTCTTGCAATCGGTCTTACGTGAAAATGGCAGATTGCTTCGCTTCCCAATGATAAAACAATTATTGAACTCCGTTATCGCAAAATATCGTGATTTGTCAGTGTCTTGTAGATCAATTATTATGATCTGCTCACCACAGACAAATCACGATATTGTGCTCAAGCTCGTCCGGTAATTGTTAACTATTTGCTGTTAGCATTGTAATGACAGAATAATCTTTGTCAGTAATGAAATACATGGAGGACAAAAACAGAACCCATACTTTGAAAAAAAAATGAATTTTTAGAAAAATGGGCTAAATTCCAAATGAAAGAGCAGAAAAGCTCAAGATTAGGCTTCATTCCTTCCCTTAAATGTTTATATGAGCCAAAAATAAAAAAGCACATGTGATTATTTTGTCATTATATAATATGCACTTTATACAATAATTAACAATTAAAGAATGAGGTTGAGTATCTTATGCAGAATTATGGAGATCAAGGAGGGTGTTACAGCCTCGACGGATAACACCGTCCGAGATCTCCATAATTCTTAATTGTTTTATTATTCATTCAAAATAATGTTGTAGTTAATTTTTTATCCCAGGTTATTTTTATGTTTCCTTTGTTTTTTGGTATGGTAATGTATGCTAATGAAGTTGAAACAAAGAAAAACATAAAAATTACTTGAGATAAAAAATTAACTACAACAATAATTTCTAGTTTAAAAACATAGCTAAAACAAGCTTACCTGCATCGATGTTAAGTTTATCTTCGATAGTTTATGTTTAGGTTTGTCCAGCTCTGCAAATATTCTCCAAAGAGCAGATATCACCCTCCGAGTTGTCTTCTTGCTGTCTTTGCTACGTTTTTAGCCATTATTTCGCCTAGTTCCAGCTGTAGTTCTTACTCTTGAAACAAGTGAAGTGTCCGCCATTATAGTTTTTACAACAAAAACAATTCAATCTCATCCCCAGCACTTCTCGGTTAATGGTGCAATAACCTGTAGAAGGCTGCATTTTTGACGTCATTTCCTCGTTAAACACAAAATTCTTCCAAATGTGGTCATCAGTAACTGGTTATGGCGAATTATGCGTGTGCTTTTAACCAATTAGAATTGGGGAAATACTTTGAATGAATAATAATAAATATTTAGAAATAAATTTCTTACCATGAAGGGTGAGAGCTCCAGGTCACAAAATTTATTACCAGAGAACAGTTTTTCACACTGTTCCTTGGCACCTTTGGGCTGCTGCTCAAAGCTACAAAGTAAGGTTATTTAGTTATTATAATAACGAATCATCTAGAAGGCACCTAATACCATTAATACTCCAGTTTCTACAGAGATCATGTTTGAAATTATAAACATACCGTAAAATTCCGAAAAAAGGGCCCCTCCATGTATAAGCCCCTCCAAATATTAGCCCACCAAACTCATAATGCAAAAAACCCTCCCTTAAATTGCCCCTCCAAATATAAGCCCCCCAGAGGCTTGTACTTGGAATTACCCTCAAATACAAAGTAAAACAAAGTAAAAACAGTAAATTTCCTTCCAACGATAAGGCTAGCCCAATCAGTTTTGAAATGCATATAATATGAGCCGAATATAAGCCCCTCCAAAAATAAGCCCCTCAAAAAGGGCCTTTGAAAAATATAAACCCCGGGGCTTATTTTCGGAATTTTACAGTACCATAAATCCTCTATTAAGCCACCCATTTCAAATAAGCCTCCTCCATCTAATAATCCCCCCTTTTCAGGGGAAGAAAGTTAATAAGCCCCACCCCCCGCCTCTATTAAGTCTCCCTCCCCAACGAAAATTATTCTTCACTAATAAAATTTAATAAATAAGCCCCCGCCCTGTCTCAATAGAGGATTTACGGTATGTATCTTAAGCAAAACTTTTATACTAACCTTGAGGTGGAAACTTTTGGTATTTCTGGGTTGTATTTGAATAAACTTGAAATAACCTGTAATTACCATGGACAAGGTAAATTTAAATGAAGAAAGTAAGTCTAAAAGAGTATAGATTTAGATTTAGAAACTAAAGCCGCGTAGACATTGACATGATAAGGTTGATAAAACACAGCTGGGTTCTGGCCACTCGGGCTTGTCATTTTTGTCTCAGGGGGGACAACTCTCCTACATGTACCCACAAGTACTGCATGCTCTAACTAAAACATGTAAGGTTGTGAATTTACCAAGAAAAAGTGCCAGAAATAAAACATTCAAATAAAGACATAGCTGCTTAACACAACCTTTAGTATCTGATGCAAGGAACGTTATGTATAGAACAAATTTAACTATGCACATTTAGACTTAGTTTTCTTTAAACCATTTGTATTTCAAGGTGATTCCCTCTTAAAAAAAACCTACATCTTTTTGCGATGACATAAGGTTTGACAGGCTCGCTAGTCCTCCTGGGAGGGATCCAAAAAACGTGTTGTGTTCTTGTTAGACATTGTGATGAATTTTAACCTTGTGAGTCTACAGAATAGGCAAAATCCAGTGTAATCTTAAAGAAACTGGGGTGATGTAGCCTTAAAAACAAGCCTCAGACCTGGATTAAATACAGTTTGGTTCAAAGTCGCCTTCAACATCCGTAACATAGACTTTTGAAATAACTTGGTACACTAATGCATCAAGTCAAGATGATGACAAAAACATAAAAGTGGTACCTACCAACTTTTAGCAATTAACCACACATACACAGCGAAAAACTAGACATGCAGAACCAGTGCGATTTTTTTCCAAGTTAGTAAAAAATCTTAAACACAGATTTTTTCAATATTTTTTCTTGTTGAAAGTAATTTAAGCACTGCTCTTATTAAAATCATAAAATAAAACAATGGGGTCACTGTAATCATTATGTAATCATTATGATTTTGCAGAATTTACATCAAGATATCTCAAAAGGATGAAAAGTGATGATAGAGCTCAAATGTCATTTAAAGTTATTCAGCACAAGTTTAGCATGTGTTTGATTAACTATCAAAGTCCTTGGTCAGAGGAAGTCAAACTCAGCAACAAGTGTCCTGCTTACATTATGCACATTTATAGTCACTCTTTTCACAGCAGCCATCTAGATTGTTATGTGCAGTGAGAGATGTGCAGTGCAACACTAACAAATCACCTTCAATGATAAATTTCCCGCTAACATACAGTATAACACAGAAGTGGTGCTCTTTATTAATTAACCTTAAAAAAATGAGGATAATGATGCTGATGATTATGACCCATTCTGCCCATACACTGTAGCTAGTTATCTGCAAAATACCGCTGGTTTTCCCTCTACAAAATATAATAATTCACACCTGAGCATTTTTTGGTGCCAGTTTGTCAGGGTGTACAGAAGCATTTCGGTGCACAACGGAGCTGTTTGTATGGTTATCCTACAAGTACAATATTGATAATGTCATCAAAAATCATGTCAATCAATCAACTTTCATGTGCTTCTTTATTGATGATGCAATGCTTTAAAATTAAAATAATTGAGGTTTGCTTTGGTTACTCTTGGGAGGGGATGGATAAGTTATCAACAGCTCCTAATTCAAGAGTACAATGCAAACATTTCCTTTATTTTTCTTCAAAGTCAGCGGGGCTGCATGAATGGTGACTTGCAAGAAAGCCACTAAAGTACTGGGAATGCATCAGCTTACATTCATGCTATCTCACATACTGCTTCCAGTCCAGTATGACAAACCCTTCGAGATGTGTGCAGTTTCTAGACCTGTTTCCTTCCTTGTCCTGGGCTACATTACTTGGTGCAGTTACATAGTTACATTAGCAAGAAGGCTTTTTATACTTCGTATGTTTTTAACAATACTTATTTTTATCTTACCGCATATCCGTTGCTTAGATTTGGCAAATTGTTGGTATAAGATCCTTTGTGCTGATCATGGAGAATGGTTGATGTTTTTGTTGATGTCTTTGCCTTCTGGGTATCTCCAGGCTTCAAGTATTGTTGTCTTTTCAGTAATTTCCGTTCTTTCCACTAATTTGACAAAAAACAAGAAATATATTATTACAATGCATGCACATACAGCTATTTCAAAAAAAGTTGTCGGAAGAAAAGCAAAATCTTCAAGCCAAGACCGCAAGGTAATGTTGGTTGTTTCAAATCTGCCTTTTGCCGGCAAACAATCACTCCACTAAACTGGTCGCTGATTTCTATTCGTCATTTATACTGAACCACACTTATCATTTTAGTTTTTAAAAAAGTACAAGGTAAAATTATGTTTCAGTTGAAGTGCACTCTTGCTTATTCCCATCTTTGAAGGCAATTCTGTTCAGCTAATTAGCAAGAAAAAATGACATTAAATTTTACATTTTATCAGTTTGCATAATGTAGTAACAAAGTGGGCAAAAAAAAATATTATAAACAAACATTTTTCCGAATAATGGTTCCTACTCAAGAATTAGTTAAAGCTCGCCAAAATCTATGGCAGGTAATATTTTACACTACACCAGCATGTGAGAATGTAAGGACTTGTAACCAGATTGCCTTTATTCCATCTCGTTCAATTTTTTAAATGACAGCGATTCCTCTAGAAATGAATTCTACAGGACTAGTTTTAAGTTAAAAAAAAGAAAAAAGAAAAGAAAATTGTGGTCTGCTGTTCACTTCCCCTATGAAACATGAGGCATTTCAAGCTGTAGTCGGGCAACAACGGCCACGGACAAAAAATGCAAATTTAGTTGTTGTTTTGCTAATTTAAGCCTTTTGTTGTTCACAGTCTCTTTTGTCGACATTGTATTTGCTTAAGCTCCCTACTGTATGAAGGCTCACCAATCACCTCTGTTTTAAGAGTTGTCCAACGTTTAGAAATACTCTCACTTACAGATAGACGTTCCAAACAGTTCTCAGGGACATACTTGTGTGGCCGCAAAACTCCTATAGGACCAGCAGCAGGTCATTATAAAAATCCCATATTACCTTTCGGTCTTGGCTTAAACTTTTTGCTTTTCGTCCGACAATGTTTTTAGAAATAGCTGTATACGTTTAATACCCCAAAGAAGAAGTTTTTGTTGAAATAACCAACAAGAAATTGTTTTGTAGCCTAGTCCCACAGGAGAGGGGCATTGGGAATTTGGGGATGTCGGTTTTTCAGTTTTGGCTATTTTTTAGTTCAGTTTTTCAGGTTTTGCACTGATAAACTTCAGCCTTTCAGTTTTGGTATCCATCACAATTTGCAGTTTTTGAATTTTTTGGTTTTTGGCAAAAATACAGGCCGTTTTTTGTAATTGTTGTATGAAGTCATTTTTGGTTTTTCCAATTTGGTTTCAAGTTTCTTTGTCCATGTGTCAACATTGAGAGGGCTAGGAAACATTGAGTCAATTACTTTTATCATACCACAGTGAATGTCACCGTAAGTTCCTGTTAATGATGAAGTAACAAACTGTGCTGGTTAGATTCCTCTACAACAGTCACATGTTAGACTATTTTAGACGTGTTTATTTTACAGTCTATCCGGGTCACATGTGACTGATTGCTGCAACATTCAAATCAAATCAAATTCACCTCTAAGTTCTCAAATCTGCAATGTGAGATTCTGGATTTTTTATGAAGGTTTCCCCAAAGTCCTCTTTAATTGCTAATCAATCGAGGATCTTTGTGAATTGTCCTAAAATACATTGTATGAACTGAGACTATTAATATGCCAGTTTTTCGACCATAGTATCCATGGATAGAGCTGA